ATCTTTGACTATAATATTTCTATTTGAATATTCATACTTGTAATCTGGATGTTTTAAAATAGGTTATAACAGACTTTTAATTTCTAAGAACAACACTAGTAAAATAGTATCATGCCACTTGTAAATTGAGAATACTTTTTGATTTAATCTTTTCTTTTTCAGCCTTCTTGGGTGATTCTGTCCGTTCAGTGTGGAGCTCTTCTGCCGTATCCTTTTTTTTTAGTGGGGGAGGAGGGAAAGGGTAACTCTGGGTTTAAGACTGAAAGAAATGATAGTTAACGGAGTGAAAAGTGGATTCATTCGTTAGGACAGATTGTTTTGTCTACATCTTATATTCCTACTATTTTCCATCCTGTTTCAAATTTTGTGTACCTGATCCTTGTCATTACTCATGTTAAAAGGGGGCTTAGCTGTGACAAGTAGCTCTAGGCCAGGAGCTGGAGGCAGGAGCTCCGGTTCTCTTCAGCTTTTGGGGTGCTAGCTAGATGAGGAATATTTCTAAAATTCTGAGTCTTATTTGAATTGTTTGAAGAGTAAATTGGGGAAGAGAAATGAGAAGAAAATTTATAACATGCATTGTTAATCCTTGTAATTGCATTGGGTAGAAGGATTATTGATTCAGTGCACATGTGCTGTGGGTTGAGTATTGAATAATAGAGTGGTGAAGAAGACCATTTCTGTCCTCAGGGAGCTTCTTTGCTTGCATTGTTCGTTCATGGAGCATTAATGGAAGTGCCCCTGCCCTGGCACTGTGTCAGGAGCCAGAAATGATGCATTCTATAGGCCTCCTGTTTATTCTCCTAGGCCTGGTGGCTCCCTTTTCATCCTAAAAGGATGATGCTTCATGGGACTGTTATTTCAAGTGTAACTTGCTTGTGGAAATCATTTCTTTTGCAAGTACCTGATACCATACAGTTGCTAAAATTTTAGACCTGGCAAGAGATTATGTCATGTGCTCTATTTTATCTTGCAGCTATGCCAGGCAGTTCCCTTGAATGCACTTATTACCCATTGAGTCAATGCAGATGGAAGGAAACTTATCATGAAATATTTATAGAGAAATAGAGAAAACATTCCTCTACAAGCAGTTCGTCTTGGAGGATGTGTAGAACTTTAGCAACTCCAACTCAGAAGTTCTAATATTTTCTTGTACGTAGCCTAAAGAGTTGGAGAAAATTAGTTCCTGTTTTTATTTTGTTGTTATTTATTACTTTTATAAGAAGTGAAAAAGACTGGGAATAGAGCTAAGAGGCTGGTTTTGCTGTTCTACGTCATTTATTCTCTATACAAGACTCCTTAAGAAGCTGAGTTATTTTTTTTCCTTTTTTTTTTTTTTTTTTTGAGACAATCTTACTCTGTCACCCAGGCTGGAGTCCTGTGGCACGGCCTCGGCTCACTGTAACCTCTGCTTCCTGGGTTCAAGCAATTCTCCTGCCTCAGCCTCCTGAGTAACTACAGGCATACAGGGACTACAGGCATACGCCACCATGCCCAGCTAGTTTTTGTATTTTTAGTAGAGATGGGGTTTCACCATGTTGGCCAGGATGATCTCAATCTCTAGACCTTGTGGTCCGCCCACCTTGGCCGCCCAAAGTGCTGGGATTACAGGCGTAAGCCATTGCACCCGGCCACTGGGATCTTCTTTGAGCTCTTACTTGCCCATCCATAAGAACAAAAGATTGTACCACTGTGCTGCAGCCTGGGCGACAAAAGCAAGACTCCATCTCAAAAACAAACAAGGGAGCCCGGGAGACTCACTGGTAGACAGTGTGCTCTGAGATTTGCCTTTGTTAATATTTCCCCAAGTCTTTGGAAGTAGAAAATCCATGAGCTTAGTTAGGTTGGAAGATGGAAACAGATCTTGGGTAATGGGGCTGAAGATATCATTGCAATCTACAGAGTTTTTTTTACAGCCAGGGAAGTCTCAGATGTTTATAAGATTCATCTGTATAACTGTATAGGAGACTTCAAATTTGGAATAGAATTTTTAAACTGATATTTTTCTTGATTCACCTATCTCAATCAGTATATTTTTCTCCTATAGGGAAAGAGAAGCAATACTTTAACCCATTTTGAATTCTGCACACTCCAGATTATTCAAAAAAAGTCATTGTTTGCTCTGAATAGCCTGTGAATTACAGGCATGTAGAGATCATGACTGCTTTGTGTCTTGTTAAATTTGCAGTGTGTGATGTGTAGTAAGTGCTTATTAATCATTTTGAATGAATTTTCAAGATCAGCTTTAGAAATAGGAAGGATTTTTGGAATCATATATTCCAACTTTTGTTTCAAAAAAGGGGAAATTGAAGCTCACAGTTGTCTTGCCTAAGTTCACAAAGTTAGCGGAGATAATAAAACTAGAGCTCAGTCAAGCCCTTATGAAGGATTCTTCCTACCGTGCAACAGAAGCAGTCACAACGTTTCGTTCTAAAAGAAGCAAGACATTTTAATTTTGCTTTTAAAATAACTGCTATGCCATTCGTGTGTGTGTGTGTGTATATGCATGTGTGTGTTTATATGTGTGTATATAGTTAGCTAGCTATCAGAGATCAAAGGGCTTCCCCCTGTGAGTGTATTTTGCCCATTTGATTTATGATATAAGTGGAAAGATTGGATTTCAAAATGTACTTTACGGAAAAGCACTCAGTTCTTTCTGTGCCACCCACTGCTCTCTATTCCACTCTGCCCTGTGCTCTTCTTTGTCTATCTTAAGTCTGTCTCTTTCTTAAATGGACTGAGTGGGGACGGAGTGGGTGGGTAATGTCTTGTTAGTGAAGTACAGGTTGCACTAATCTTATTTCATTGTAATCTTAATAACTATAAAACAGAGTAAATGGTTTTTCTCCAGAATCATGTCAGATTTTTTTTGGAATCACTGCCTGCCTTTCTCAGGTAAGCATGGTTACAGTTAGTCTTGAGTTATTTATATGTGACACTTCTGAGTTTTTGTATGATTGGATTTATGACCTGTTTGTTAACCAGTTTTAGAGAAGCTGTTTCCTAAACTGACTGTATATTTAATATGAACTCATGACACTTAAAATTATTTAAATATTTGTGCTTGCTTTTAAGATACAAAGTTTTTAATGAGTGAAAATGGTCTTTATAATTAAGAAAAACAAAGATTTAAAACTTGAATATGAAAAAATATTAAAAATGAAATTAAAAGATGACAAGGAAAATTCAGTTAGAAATACAGGCAAAGAATTTTCTTAATAAATAAAGGGATCATACAGATCAATAAGAATAAAAAAGACCTTAGCAGATAAGGCAGAGAAATGAATTTAGAATCTATAAAGAGGAATTACTAATAATAAGTGTAACAAAACATTTGATGCACTTTATACTTTATAATCAAAGACATAAACATTTTAATAGCAATGAGATAAGCGTTTTTGCTCATCGAATTTGTAACAGTGTGTTCAGTGTTGGTGGAGATGCTCAGGACAGACTCCTGCTTCCTGCTGCCAGGAATGGGAGTCAGCACAGCAGCGTCCTAGGAAAGGGGAGCAGTGTTGAGCCTGAAAATACTCATTTTGTTTTCACCTGCATTTCTTTTGTGTTCAGAAACTTATCCCAAGTTGGCCGGGCGTGGTTGCTCACGCCTATAATCCCAGCACTTTGGGAGGTGGAGGCGGGTGAATCACCTGAGGTCTGGGGTTTGAAACCAGCCTGGCCAACGTGGTGAAATGCCGTCTGTACTAAAAATACAAAATTAGCTGGGTGTGGTGGCGCACACCTGTAATCCCAGCTACTTGGGAGACTGAGGCAGGAGAATTACTTGAACCTGGGAGGCGGAGATTGTGGTGAGCCGAGATTGCGCCATTGCACTCCAGCCTGGGTAACAAGAGCAAAACTCCATCTCAAAAAGAAAAAGAAAAAGAAACTTATCCCAAGTCGATAGAAGGAAGGACAGAAGGTGCTCACATTTATTGATAAACATTATTTATAAGATGGTAAAATTGGAAACAATCAGATCATCCACTGTTTGGGAATGTTTAAGAAACCTATTGTATATGCTTACACAGTAGTCTAGCTGCTTAGCCATTTTTGAATTCTGTTTTATGAAAACATATAAAGACATGGGAAACGTTTTAAATGACAAAAGCAGGCCATAGCCTAGGTATGTACAGTATTACACCAACCAAATATATGAGAGCTATCCGAAATGAGGAACCAAAATGTTAACAGTGGTTAGTTCTGGGTATCTGAATATTTAATTTTTTTTATTGTATTTTGTTTTTCTAACTCCCAGCTAAGAAAAATCTCAAATCGTAATAAAAACTATTTGAAAAACATCAAATTGTTATTGTTTAAAGTCGTTTTACAAATTACGTGGAGTAATTTGTTTAAAATTAGTGGTCCTTAGGAAGGTAAAAGTGCTCTGTAGGATGTCCCATCTCATTTGACCTGACAGTCCTCATCCCAGGCTGTCATTTTGGTGCTCATACATGATACTTTTGAGAAAGTGTTTAGTCATCTTTCTCTATGCACACCTTTGAGAAAGGGGCACATTCAAGTTATTAGGTGAGATGGAAAGAAATTTGGTTATAATCTTGTTTTTCCTTTTGCCTTTGTGATAGAGGATTATGGAGCTGGGTAGTATTTGGTTTAGCATTGTTAGGTTGTTGGCCAGACTCAACAGTTAATACAAAGAATATCACCTGTCTGAACTTGATCCCTCCTCTGTCCAAGTAATAAGTAAATTTATCTGTGGTTACTGTGTTTTTGTTTGTGTCTCTTATATTCTGGAAGTTCTCTAAAATCCTGTTTTTGTTTTTGTGACATTAATTTGATGGAGATCCTTCAAGTAGCAAAGTTGGCTTATTTTTTTTCTCTTTAACAGGAATTTTGTTGGTATTTATATTTTGCAATGTTTTTTCATATCTGTTATAAGTGTATGTTTACATGAATGATCTTTAAAGTTGGCTAAAATGAGAAAACCTTTTAAATGCTGGGTGCTATGGTTACATGTAATTTTTATTGTTTTCCTCTACTTCTCTGTATGTTCCAAATTTACAATCAACGTATCAGAAAAGTTTTAAAAATGAAAACATTACTACTTATGTATAAACACAATGTACTTTGGCTAAAATGTGAATTTTTCATTTAATTTTATTTGCATCGGTTGGATTTCTGGGTTTCAGAGACTCAGAGCCGACTATCCAGAAATGATTCCAATTGAATGAGAAAGGGAGAGAGGACGAAGGGCCACGCTGAGTTTGGGACAGGGACAGAGAGTCCTGTGGGCATTTTTCAGAGATGAAGGTCACAGTGACATGGGATTTTGAAGACTTGATTTGGTGAAATAAATAAGAAAACCAAAAGTATGTGAGTATAAGATGATTATAGGGTTTCAAATGAGGTAATTAGATATTGTTAAATATTAACTATGAGTTTAGCACCAGAGAATATTATTAGTCTTCCAAAGAACTAACAGTTATGTTTATCAGAGTTTATATTTGTAATAGATTGTTATATAATACATGTAATAAATTAGGTATAGTATAGACATACATACAGGATACATATATGACCACTCGGGGGGCACAGGTATGACTGTATGAGCTTAGGAAGGATGGCATCAGTCTGGATTGCGAGACGAGGGAGGCCTTGATAGAGAGGATGTAAGGTTTGAGTGGCCCTGAAGGAATGGACAGAATTGGAGGAAATGGGAAGGGAGGAGGGCATTCTGCGTAGAGCAAGGTGGAAGGAGAAGTCAGGAGTACACAGACGCTAGGTAAGAGGAGACTGGTGTCAGCCAAGCGTGTGCATTTGCACGTAGAAGAAAAAATGGTCAGGCAGGTAGATGGATAGAGACGATGGGAAAACAAGGTATAGGAGTTTGAACTGGCTAAAGTAGGTAGCAGGATGCTTCATCACCCTTTTTTCCTCGTTATTTGATTTTGGGTTACAAATACTTACCTCAGAAAATTTGGGAGACAAAAAGCAAACAAAATTAGAATCACTTGTGATCATTGCAGGTAAAACTGGTCCAGGAGCTCTGAGCATGACTTGCAGGGCAGGACAGAGGCTGGAGTTTTGACAAATGGAGATTGGATTCAGGGTAGCAGATACAACATGGGACTTAGCAACAGATGGGACTCAGCAGGTATTGGGGACGTGGGATGCTGTGGTGCAAAGAGTGAGAAGCCAACCCTCACTGTATACCTCCCTGCGCCAGATCCCATGGTGGATGCCAAAGATTATGTCATTGTTTCAGTTGGGGAGCACCAGCAGAGTGGCTTCGCTGATGGAGCTGGGAAATAGGGAGGATCCTGATTGGCGAAGGGAGATGGCAACACTGGTTTGAAACACACTTTGGGCTGTTGATAAGATTTGGAAGTGTAGGAACTTGGAGATCCTGTGGCATGAAGGAAATTCCCACAGAGCATGATAGAGAGAGGAACAGATAACCGGGAGTAGAGCCTTGGATAGCACGCATTGGTAGAGAGATTTGGGGAGAAAAAAAAAAGAAGGAGCTTGAAAACAGATGATACTGGAGGAGTAGGATATTATTTTTAGAAGCCAAGATAAAGTCAGATTTAATCATTTTTATTTTCATTGCTGGGAAGTAACAACAACCCAGGTAAAGATTTAGAGCATAAATTGATAGAAGATAATTGTACATAGGTGTGTGTGTACATAGGTCCTATTCTGTGACCCAGGAAGCGGAGGAAAAGGATGATAGAAAGTGATACAGGAGTATCAGCTGGCTCAGTGAGCATCACACAGGCTGAGGGGTCTAAGTACATCTTGGGTTCTCAAGTGAGAAGTCACCAGTGTAGTCCCTGTGGGAACAGGAGGATGGATATCCATAAAGAAACAACTGGGTGAGCAAACTGCTCAGAGAACATGAATATCTTGATTCTTTGCAGTGGAATAGTGTCATTCGATTGTGTGGTCTGGGAAGGGGCTCTGCTGGTGACAAACTGGGCAGAGGCCCTGCTCACCCACTGTCAGATGAAAAGTCGAATTTTACCTTGGTGCTAAACTTACCAAGGGGAGTGGCTGGGTCAATGGTGGCCAAAAGTTTAATTAGTTAGCAAGATCTTTGACAGTATTTTATATCCTTTTAGCAAATTCAGTGGATAAGAAAAATTAGAATCCAGAATTAGCGTGATCTTTGTGGGCCACTTGCTTTACTTCCTGCAGTTCATCACTTAACATGAGGAACTGGAATCCCCAGTGTGTCATGGGGTAAAATAAAAACATTTCTTTTAAGTTGAGAAAGATTGTTCAAATAGGGATGGGGAAGACTTTAATAGTCACTTCTATGAAGAAACCCTGGAAATTGTAGTTTAAGAAAAGTGCATTGGGAGCACTAATATTTTGTGGTTGCTAAAAAATGTTATTTTGGTTTTAAGATATATTAACAAACATGTACAGTGTGCAGCTAAGGGACTTTGATCCAACAAATCCTTGATGGGTACTTCCTTTGTGACAGGAGCAATGCAAAGGGGTACAAATTAATTAAGATGCGATTTCTCTCTCAGTAAACATACCGTCTGTGAGGGTCAGACCTTGGGCAAATACGGTATGTTGCAACGTATGCAAAAATGAAAGTGGGCCCCGGGTACAGAAAGAGGAGGGAGTGCTCACAGTGGTTAGTCCTCACTGATTGGAGACTGTCAGAGGGATCTGCACCTTTTCTGCACACTGGAACACCCATGCGCACACACGCTCACATGCACATGCCAGGCAGGACCCCAGCTTTACAAAAGGACTGTTTCTTGGTGGTTCTCAGTGACCTTCTGTCTTTTCCCCGTCAGGGTGTTGATACAAGCTGGAGCTCTTTGTTGGAGTCTTCCAGAGCTCTCCCAGGGAGAGGTAGGGAAGGGAGCTTGTCCAGCAGAAGTTGGGAAGCACAGAGATCATCTGCCTTCTTCTGACCCGGTATTGATGCAGGCTGAGGCCTCTGTTGTAATGTGCTGGGTAGGTTTTGGGGAATAGGTCAAGAGTGTAATGGAGAGCCTGGCCAGGTCATGATTTAAATCTAGAAGCCTAAAAAGTCCGTTCCATTCTGTATCTCAACAACAGTATTTCTTGACTGCCTACCCATGTGCCTTGCACTGTTCTAGGTACTGTGAAAGATCTCAGAGGAGTTGAGGACATCATGTAAGACTCTTTAATAAGGAGTGTTAGAGTTCATAATCAAGACTGGACAAGGAGAAAATCCTGTAAGCTAGAATCAAGGAGTGTCTTATTGGGGGTGGTGAGGCCTGAAGAAGGAAAAGGGAGAGTGTTCCTGATTGGTTTAAACAAAAGCTTTTATTCCTGGGGGGCACAGACTTGAAATTCTAGTCCTCTGCTCCTGGTTGCTTTGGAGTATAGTTGGGAGGACAGATAAGCAAGCAGATAGTTGTAGAGTGTGAGAAGTATTTAGATTTCTGTCCAGCTTGCTGTGGGAGTACAGTGGTAATGCCACCTGAGCCGAGTCTTACAGGAGGAGGTCGGAGGGTGGGCACGGCGGGGCACAGGAAAGCGGAACGTGTGAGGACGGCAGGTGCACGCGGGGGCAGGGCTCATGGGCAGGAGGAGGTGGTTAGGAGCCAGCCGGACAGGAAGGGCCTGGACACCACAGGGGAGCCTTTGGATTTTAGCCTTACAGCACTGAGGAGACATTATTAGCCAACATGATAACATTGGTATTTTGGAAAGATGGTTTTTTAAAAAGAAAAGCACTTTTCCCCAATTATAAAATTAATGCTTTTGAAAATTTGGAAAATACAGAAAAGTATAAAAATGAAAATAAAAATGTCCCCATAATCCTGTCACTAAGTAACTATTGTTAACATTTTGGTGTGGAAAGAGCATTCTTAATTATGCTGATGGAGATTCATTAAATGAACTGGTATGGATGTTCAAAGTCGTTTAATCCAAACGTACATCAGTGAAGAATCTGGGTCATGGAAGTTTTCCAAGTTGACATAAGCGAGTTATTGGAGGCATCGTATTAATTCCAGGTCTCCTCCATTCCTCCCTAGCTGATGTTCTTTCCACAGCAATCTACTGCACCCTGTTGAGGTCTACGCCTGTGACACAGGCCAAATAGGGTATAGGACTAGATTTACTGCAGTCAGTAAAATAAAATAATACTTAACTGAACATATAGGCAAATCTTGGTAATAAAGGCATATCTAGATTGTTTTTAATTTCATTTTTAATAAAGATTATATAATGACTCCTTGGATTAATCTGTATTATCATATAATTAAATCTCAACTCTCCAAATGCTGTAGGATATAAATGTTTTTGTGAAAGCCTCTAATAAAAATAACCTGGTCCAGTCTTCTGAAATGTGACATTGACTTACTAAATTAACAAGATAAAAAATAATGATTTGAAAAGTGATTTTTAGAAAGCTAACATGTTCTTGTTACTAGTTATAGAGTAGTGTGTAATACAAAATAATTTCTAGAAATGTTTGTAAAATTGATGAGAATAGATGGAGAATGCTAGATTATTTGCAAGCTGCATACTGGCAGTTAAAAAGAGATTAACACGCTATTATCAGTACTTTTAAAACATTAACTTGAGACAAAGTTCAGGATTCTTCAACAACTATAATCCTCAACTTACAATAAATTTATCCAGAAAAAATTTACTTGGTTAAATGATTATCTTAGAATTAATGCTTATATTTTTATTTTTCTTAAATGTTCTTTTGCTTTTCAGACTCTAAAATTTCATTTTTTTAGAAATTGTTTTTGACTTTCCCAGCAGTAACTGCCCTTAGAGAAGCACTACAGAACAGTGGAAAGTCCAGTTTGGAGTTAGACCTGGGTGTAGACAGACCTGGGTTTTAAAAGCCAGCTTTTCCATTATTAGGTGTAATTTAGCGTGTTTCCATATCTTTAAAATGGGGCGAATGATTCCTGTTTCACATGGCGGTTGGAAGGGTTAGCTGTATAGATAAAGCACTTGGCACAGTTCCTGGCACATAGTAGGCAGGCAATAAATGGTAGCTGTTTCTATTGTTACAGTGAAAGCCTGTTTGACCGCATAAGCCATTGTATCTGGAGTCGTTACTTCATCACTGAGCAAGCATAAGAATTATTCCTTTCATGCTTGCCTTCTTTCTTTCCTTTGTTAAGTAATATTTACATTTTCCCCTGAACTTATAAGCCACCATATTTTTATCTTTATTTTTATTTTATTCATTTCATAATTAGTATTTGTTATCCATTAGCATAAAGGCATTCCTAAAATACGATTTTGATATTGCTGTTGTATTTAAACATTGTCAAAAGTGACACAAATGGAAGCTGGAATGGTGTACTAGTTCTTCCTGCTTTTTTTCCCCTGACTGTTTTTGTTATAGACTGAAATAATCCTCCATTCCGCTTTTTGGAATGTGGATATAAATATTTTTAAATTCATTTGGTGACAAGGCAAAAATAAGTAATTATATATGTAAAACTATTATGATAGGAGTGAAATTTTTGTTATAATAAGCAGATAGCTAAGAGCTTCTCTATTTTTTCTACAGATATTCTTAGGTTAATTTTATTAAGGGAGAAACAGAATTGTTGCAATATATTACTAAAGTGAAAATATAGCCATGCACAGATTGAAATGTATGGTAAAAGCCTTCTTTCTAACTTCCCATCAGGTGTCATCTGAAGACAGAAGTGCCCTGTGGGCTTTGGTTACGTTCTATGGGGGGGACTGCCAGCTGACCCTCAATAAGAAATGCACGCATTTGATTGTTCCAGAGCCAAAGGGGGTAAGCATTTCTTGTGCCGCCTTCTTTTTGTATGTCATTTAAGAATTTCTAGTAATCACATGTCTTTTTTGAGCTTCTTTTAAATTAATTATTATATTTCATTTACAAAAGCTGATTATATTGGTTTATATTATTTATATCCAGCTTCATTCCACAAAAGATGTCAGACGATTGTAAATTGTAAGCCAAATATAACTTCTAAATACTATGAAATTTGGCTTCATTTTATGTGGAAAATAGGAAAATGTTATTAATCTGAAGAATTTCCTTTCAAATCCAGTAAAACTTTGGTTCATTTTTATTTGTTTAAAAAAATGTATTTTTTGTTCCCTTCACCATTTTTTTTTTAAACCTCATACCAGGTATAATTATAAGCATGCGTTTAGTGAAATTTTTGATATATTTTCTTCTTCATAATCTGGAATATATGAAAATGACTTTTGCCTTGATAAGCATGGGGCTCTCATCCTTGAGCAGTGGTGTGGCTGTACGGATTTTGTTTCCACAAGTAGAGTTCCTGGATCAGCAGCATCTGCCCTCCTTGGGTACTTGTTAGAAATGCAGTCTGTTGGCCAGGCGCAGTGGCTCACGCCTGTAATCCCAGCACTTTGGGATGCCAAGGTGGATGGATCAGTTGAGGTCAGGAGTTCGAGACCAGCCTAACCAACATGAAGAAACCCCATCTCTACTAAAAATACAAAAATTAGCCAGGCATGGTGGCATGTGCTTGTAATCCCAGCTACTCAGGAGGCTGAGACAAGAGAATCGCTTGAACCCAGGAGGTGGAAGTTGCAGTGAGCCGAGATCACACCACTGCACTCCAGTCTGGGTGACCGAGTGAGACTGTCTCAGAAAACAAAAAGGAATGAAGTCTGTCCAGCCTCTTCCCAGACCTAATCAAATGAGCCGAACAGTCGGTGTGTGATCAGGTCCTCTGGTGGGTGATTCTGATGCACACTAAAGTTTCAGAAGCACTGTTCTATAGAAAGCATCATATAAAATGTATGATGTGACTCCTAAAATTTAAGTAAAAAACATATTTTCCATGACAATTTAAGTGATAAACAGTATGCTTTGGTTAAAATAGTGGGTTCTTTTTACATTAATGTTGATTTATAGCAAAAATTTATTTGATTTTTACATAGCTAATTTGAAGGGGAGATGAAACCTTTAACTTTTTTAACTGAGTTGGGATTATAATTTAAGAGGCACTATGTGAACAGAGTGGGTTTGTCAAAGCTGTTTTGAATTGTGATTTAACGTTTTAATTCTAGTGCCTTAATTTAGGGTTTTTCCCGCTTCCAAAATATTTTGATGATAAATCCTTAGTAACTCTTTGGGCTTTAGGTATAGTATGTATTTTAAAGTATTTATTGACTTTAGACTAATTTGTACGTGTATAGCTAAAAATGGAATCTTTTAAAATTTTTATTTGGAAGGAAAAACAAATCTAAGTCATAAGGTCTATATATAAATACTTTAATTGAGCTTTATTTATCCCAACAAAGAGGCACTTAAAAGAAATCATTTTCTTTGGCTAAAACATGCTTGTGAATAAGACAACAAATATGCTACTATAATTATATTTAGATAAAGCAAATACTCCATATATTTTAAAAGTTGATACTAAACATGATATTATGTATAATGTATTATGCATATATAGAGAGATTATCTTATCTAAGTCAATAGTGGAATTGTAATATTGTCTTATGTAATGTATTTGTTCTTCATTCTTGATTTCATTTATGGACTGGAAAAGATAAGTCTTTTTTTGCTTTTCCAATTTTAATTTCCCAGTTTTACATGAACTAATTCAACATAGGTAAAAATGAACTGCTATTTTAATGCTTACTGTGTTTCTTCTGCAACAGTAAATATTTGTTAAAAGCAGATTTTGTGTTTGCCAGTAATAAAAATAACACTAATACGCAGCCATTAGTGAGCACTTACTAGTTGCCAGTACCGTGCTGCTTGCGGCATGCAGTGAAGGAAGTCCTGCTGTCCCCTTGGGGAAACTGAAACACAGACACCCACCATTTCTTTCTCTAACCCCGTTCTGTACACATTACTGTTCCTAAGTAATTTTTTTTTTTCTTGAGACAGAGTCTCACTCTGTCGCCCAGGCTGGGGTGCACTGGTGTGATCTCAACTCACTGCATCCTCCATCTCCCAGGTTCACACAATTCTCCTGCCTCAGCTTCCCAAGTAGCTGGGATTACAGGCACGTGCCACCACACCTGACCAATTTTTGTATTTTTAGTAGAGACCAAATTTTGGCCAGTCTGGTCTTGAACTCCTGACCTCAAGTGATCTGCCCACCTCGACCTCTCAAATTGCTGGGATTACAGGCATGAGCACTGCGCCCAGCCCTTAATTCTTAAGAAGTCATAATGCCCACATGTAAAGAAAGAGAAAGAGGGCAATTAATAATGAAAAACAACCAGAATTTTTAATGCTCAAGCATAACTACCCTAGAAGACAATGAAGTAGTAAGATATTACATGGGCCAGAAGTGGTGGCTCATGCCTATAAATCCCAGCACTTTGGGAGGCCGAGGTGGGAGGTCTCTTGAGCCCAGAAGTTTGAGATCAACCTGGGCAACAAAGTGAGACCCCATCTTTACAAAAAATAAAAAATTAGCTGGACGTGGTGACTCACACCTATGGTCCTAGCTACTTGGGAAGCTGGGGACGGAAGGATTGCTTGAGCCTGGGAGGTTGAGGCTGCAGTGAGCCGTGATTGCATCATTGCACTCCAGCCTGGGCAACAGAGTGAGACCCTGCTTCAAAAAAAAAAAAAAAAAGATATTTGTAAATGTGTAACTTACATATATGAGCATATATTTTTATGTATTACAGTCATGAATATGGCAGCTGCAAAAAAAGATTAATCTTGTATATCTGTTGTAATGATGACATAAAGGGTATAAGTGATCATTGCCCTTAGTGACATTTTCCAGTGAAATTCGATTAAAAAAAAAACTGACCAACTTGTAGTAAATTTTGAATAAGCTAGAAATAATTCCTTTGATTTTTTTTTTTTTTTTTTTGAAAATTAAGTACATACCTCCATACATTTTTAAATATGACTGATGGTACATTACCAGAATGTTTGCAGGATAATTCCTCGACTATGCAGCATTGTCTTGATCATTCTAGGACTTAGCATTGCCTCAACCATTTCCTTCCAGCCAGCTTTTGTGACAAATAACATGGGCTCTCACAAATTTCCAAAACTTCAGGGAGTGGTAACAGCTCTTCTTTAGTGTCAGACTTACTTTCAACCAAGATCACAGGATCAGAAAGTGACAGTTGGACTTCGTGTTCATGTCTGTCTGTTGTCTTTAAGGCAATAGTGTTTCATTCCTATTGGATCCTCGTAGGCCATGTACCCTTCTATGGCGTGGTGTTCCCTGCCTCACCTCACCTCTTCCCTGGTTCTTTCTAACTCACCCCTTGAAGGCTGAGAAGCACCAGTCTATAAAATGAACTGAAGGAGCCATATAATCTGGCATAGTCTGTTTATAAAACCAAAATGGTTTTAAGTTAATGTTAATTATAATTAGCCATTATGTTCTTGATTCATGATTATGTTATGTTTGTGGCTTATGTAACTCAATAACTACAAATATTTGAAAAATTAAATCCCTTTAAAAAGACTGAATTTTTATCATTCCTTTAAATTATTGTATTTTATAATTATTCAGATATAAATTTGTAAACCTAATAGTGGTGAATTTAAATAGTTTCTTTTAATTTATAAGTTTTATGAGTGCTAGAGACCAGCTGACTATACACAAAAATAACATTTCTTTTTAAGGTAAATGTTTGTTTTTATTTTTTTTAATGAGCACATAGCAAAAGCTTGTGCAAATGGCATAATAAAACTACCTTTTATACTCTTGAAGTTTAAAAGTTTCAAATTGAAAAGAATGAAAGAATTTATAACTTAAAACCAACAGAAACAGGGTATGGTTATTAGTTGTTGGGGAGAGGGGACATGGTTGACCCTTGAGGTCCTTAGCACTTCGTGAGTTAGAAGTTTTGAGGATACAAAATTTAGAATAATTTAGTTGATAAATTGGGTCAGGCAAAGGCATCTAAACATTGTTTTCCTCTTAAATCATCTTTGTTTAAACAGTTATTGTCTTTCAGTGATTAAAAACTACCTATCTTGTGAAAAGCGAGAGAAAACTTGAGTGAAATATAGTAAGACTGTTTACCTAAATGTTTTACTTAGATTTCCATAGGAAATAGTCAAGTTATTTCTGAAATGTGAAATGCCAGCATTCTATACAAACTAGGAACTCAAGAGCCTACTGGATCCCAGCTTTTTAAATGTGAAATTACCTTTTTCATATCCAAATTTTTCAGTGACTCCTCTTCATGGCGATAGTTTTGTTTTTTGGTATTTGCTAAAACAGAATTTAAAATAACTTTTTTTGTATTTTATTATTTCAACAAATATCTTTTTAACTTGGAAAGATAATATGTAAACCATATTACATATAGTCATATGTTATTCAAACAGATGATATTTTTGTATTAATTGGTTTGTAAATATTTTGCTGTATACCTGGACTTCATATTTTCCTAAAATAACTCAGGTTTTTCTGGGATGGGTAGTCCAGAAATTGAAAATCTCTAGTAGAAATTTATCATCTGGAGAGATTTATATAACATTTTATGCTTTTAAATATTTAAGAACAGCATGATTTTTAGGATAAAGAATAAAACATTTTATTATCAAGGGTATAGGTAAATTGATGTACTCTTACATAGCTGTTGGAAGTGTGATTGCTGTAGCCTTTTTGGGAAGGGAAGTGTAGTTATAGATATGAAACCTTATATCTGTATTTCTTTTCAAACCTCAACACCAAAACCTAGGAATAAGTCATAAAATATAACTCCAGTTTTTCATCGTAGTGAAACACTGGAAACAACTACGTGGCTAACACTGGGGGATGAACTAAGTTATACAGCTGTGCAACTGAAGAGGAAACTAAAAGCCTTTGAGACTATTGGGGAGATCTGAATAGGGCCTGAGGATGAGGTGAATCATAGTTCATTGTGCTGCTATGATAATTATGGTGATTTAGAAAGTCTTTATCAATTTGAGATCCATAAACAAAGTCCAGGAGAAGCAAGATTTGTAAAAGGCCAGTTATTGAAGCTGGGTGACAGATACAAGGGATTTATTCCACTAGTCTCTAATTTGGTCTGTGTTTGAAAATGTACATAAAAAAGTTAAAAACAAAAGCATAAAAGTGTACATATTTTCATAGGAGGAGGTTGTTCACAATATATTAAGTGAAAAAGGAGCATTATAAAGTATTTGTTTACTATGACTATGTGTTTTTTCCCTTTGTCCTTTTAATATATGTACATACATATTTATAACAAATAATTTAAACTCTACCCTTAAAATGTTAATCGTGGTTCTCTCTAGTCAGTGTGATTATGATTACATTCATTTTCCTTTGCTTAGCTTCTTATTCATGGGTGTCTCCCATGACTAGGTTTTTCTTGTATTTTAAAAAGGTTTAAGAAAGAACAACCTCACAAACACAAGTTAAGTCACTGAGCCGTGTGCAGAGCTCACTGTTTGCAAGGATGTGCATCTCCCAGATGGACAATGCCTGGCGTTTGCCGCCAGGACTGACTGACAGCTGTCCTCCCTGTGCTGCTGCCCCATATCCCTATTGCGTGTGACTCTTATTCTACCCAGAAATTGCAAGTGCCGCCTTGGGGCTCCACAGCAGGACATGGAGTTGAGTTTAGGGCCCTGAATATGTGTTTGCTAGAGAATTGCTGTTATGTGTTAGGCTTTTAGAAGCACAGCCAGATTTACAAACTCATTTATTTTAAAGTTACTTTATTATCGTATTACTCTTACTTAACATTTTTAATTTATTTCTTCTTTCTTTGTTATTCCTTCCCTTGTGCCTTCCACATTCTGCACCCTTTACCACAGTAGAGGCCTCTGTTAACTTGCCGTACATGCTACTCCGGACACGTCTTTTCCATTGGGCTGTATTTTCTGCTTTCGTTCTAACTGTGCAAATTGTCATCATTTGTGCCCCAGCCAAAGCTCACCTTTCAATGGGGCTTTCCTCGTGTCCTCCAGCTTACCTTGATGAGATCACCTTCCAATCTGTCACCGCATCATTCAGCACTGGTTTTATATTGTATTTGCATTCCATATTTAATTTCTCTTTAGAACCAAATTGTGAGCCTTGTTAGGTCAGAGACTTGTTGCATCCTTTGTGTCTCCATCCCTTAGTGCTGCTTGGCATATAGCATGAGCTCCATAAATACTGGATCTTGAATAGAGCTATCCTGTGCAAGTCAGCCAAGTCAGCCACACTCCATGAGTGTATGTGATGAAATGGTGGCACTCTGCCATGCCGTTACTTTACTAACTGTTGTGGAAAAGCAAGCTTCTAAATATTATCAGTCAATAAAAACTTAGGTAGCAATTATTCGCTTCCTAATTTTCCATAGGATTACTAGCTCTACTTTTGTACTTAAAATATCATTTTAAAAAGTTAATTTTAAGCGAAGTCTTTTAAGACTCCTACTGCAGGCATGAGACCTTCCTACGGTCACTGCTGTATGGTTCCTTTTAACTTTTGCCTCATGTCCTCTGTCTTAAAGATCAAACTTTCCTTATGTATAAAAGTGTAATAATAGTTGCTCAACATTTCAACTGCATTCCTCTCCTGAGTTTTTTCTAAAATGCATAATTGTAGGAAATGTGATAAAATTCACAGCTTTGTTTTGTGTGTGTGTGTTTCTGCTTTCCTCATAGGAGAAATACGAATGTGCTTTAAAGCGAGCAAGTATTAAAATTGTGACTCCTGACTGGGTTCTGGATTGCGTATCAGAGAAAACCAAAAAGGACGAAGCATTTTATCATCCTCGTTTGATTATTTATGAAGAGGAAGAAGAGGAAGAGGAAGAGGAGGAGGAAGTAGAAAATGAGGAACAAGATTCTCAGAATGAGGGTAGTACAGATGAGAAGTCAAGCCCTGCCAGCTCTCAAGAAGGGTCTCCTTCAGGTGACCAGCAGTTTTCACCCAAATCCAACACTGAAAAATCTAAAGGGGAATTAATGTTTGATGACTCTTCAGATTCATCACCGGAAAAACAAGAGAGAAATTTAAACTGGACCCCGGCCGAAGTCCCACAGTTAGCTGCTGCAAAACGCAGGCTGCCTCAGGGAAAGGAGCCTGGGTTGATTAACTTGTGTGCCAATGTCCCACCCGTTCCAGGTAACATTTTGCCCCCTGAGGTCCGGGGTAATTTAATGGCTGCTGGACAAAACCTCCAAAGTTCTGAAAGATCAGAAATGATAGCTACCTGGAGTCCAGCTGTACGGACATTGAGGAATATTACTAATAATGCTGACATTCAGCAGATTAACCGGCCATCAAATGTAGCACATGTAAGTCACTCAGAAAAAAATGTCAGTATTGGATTTTAGAATTGGATTTCACAGTCTATTTCAACGTAATTTATTGGTTTTGCTTTTTCAGACCAAATAACTTACAAGCAATATTTGTATGAGAACCTTTTTACTGTTGTGTGTGTGTGTGTGTGTATATATATATATATATTTATTTATTTCAGGGTCATTGAAAAAAAGGTAACTGTACGTTAAGTTGAAGATTTAAAGCAGGTGAGTAGAACCAGGACATCAGTGATGGCGTACTATCCCTTGAAGGGTTTCTACTCTTACTTAGTTTAAAATTAGCAATGGCACCAAAGAGAATAATGAAGTTTACCAGCTGTACCTGATTTGCTTATAATGAACTTCATGGTAGTAAGTAAATAGCACAAATTCATGCATTTGTTGAAGAAGCCTTGATTTCAGGTTACAGTTTATATAGCATGGAGCTTATTGATACAGAGTGGATCTTAAGTTTTGTTGCTGTTGTTTTTTGTTTTTTTGTTTTGTTTCGTTTTTGTTCTTGTTTTTTTTGAGATGGAGTCTCACTCTGTCGCCCAGGCTGGAGTGCAGTGGTATGATCTCAGCACACTGCAACCTCTGCCTCCCGGGTTCAAATGATTCTCCTGCCTCAGCCTCCCGAGTAGCTGGGATCACAGGCATGTGCCACCATGCCTGGCTAATTTTTTTTTTTTTTTTTTTGTATTTTTAGTAGAGACAGGGTTTCACCATGTTGGCCAGGCTGGTCTTGAACTCTTGATTTCTAGTCATCCACCCACCTCGGCCTCCCGGAATGCTGGGATTACAGGTGTGAGCCACCATGCATGGCCTTAAAAGTTTTAAGTAGATATATTTCTATTTAAGACAGAAAGAAGGTAGTTGAGGTGGTATATTGGCCACTCTTTGCATTTTTCTGGGCGCTGGAGATAAAATTGTAAATAAGAAAACCAATTTAGGTAGAGAAGACATACAGTAAGAGGAGAAATATGAACAGACGCACTGTTGATGGTGAAAGGTGTTTCGAAGAAAATAATCAGGGTCCCATAATAGCAGGTGAAGGGAAGGAGGCTGTTTTAGACGAGATGATCAAGAAGGACCTCAGGCAGGAGGTGACTCAGATCAGGGTTGAATGACAAGGAAAGGCCATGCAAAGAACTGAGGGCACAGAGTTCCCAGGCAAAAGGAAGACACAAATGTGGGCATGAATTTGCTGAGTTCTAAGAAAAGAAAGTTAATAAAATTTGAACTGCATAAGGTGAATGAGTTCTAGGAAGGATTTAAAAGGGGCCTTGCCATATAGGGCCATAGTGAGGAGTATGGACTTTCTTGGAAGGAAGCCACTGGGTTTTGAGTTGGGGTGAGATGCACTCTGATAGGTATTGTGTAAACAGTGGATCGTAGAGGGGCAAGAGTGAAGCAGAGAGGCCCCATAAGAGGATATAGAGGTGGAGTTTGAGAGAGAAAAAAAATGAATGGGAGGATCCAGCTTTCTGGCCTGAGCAAGTGAAGGAAGTTGATGCCGTTTCAGAGATAAGGGACACTGGGAAAGCTGCAGGTTTGAAGAATCCAAGTTTCTTTTCAGATGTGTTGGGTTGGAGGTATCTGATCCATGCAGGGGCTGTCTGCTACACGGTGGAACCACAGGAAACAAGGCTGACTGAAGCTATGGAGGTAGATGTGAGGATGTATAGTAGGCGGGACAGAGCAAGAGGAGGGTCTGGGACCAGGTCCTGAGGAGCCCCACCATTGAGAGCCAGCTGGGCTGTTCCATCTGATGGTGACGCCCCATCTGCCGCTTCACCTTGTTCTGGACACTTTCATTTAATAATAACAGTTCAAAGTCCCAGAAAAATGGCTCTGCATATAGGAACAGCCTGAAGCAGGATCCAGTATTCTCCACATCCACTTTCAGTAGAAAGGCTTGATGTTGATGAAGTGGGGAAATTCAATATGGCGTAGGTGTAAGGTGATGTTGACAAACAATGACCATTTTATTGGGTGTGATAATAGCAGTGGTTTAAAAAGTGTGTAGAAATGCTGTGGGACAGACAAAATCCTTGTCTCACCTCCCCTCCACCTAAGCAGCAGGTATTAGTAGTACACGATTCTTGGGATGATGGCAGCGGTTGGCTGGCATCCAGAATAAGGTAGAGGCAAACATGCCCTTTAGATGTTGGACAGCAGACAGTTAAGATGGTGAGGGAGAAGATGAGTAGAGAGAGAAGATCATCGGGTTTGAGGAGATTAGATTTTCAAATAGTTGATTAATAGATAGGGAAGACATTCTTCGTACACATTGGGTTTCTGGCTTGAGAGGTGGGTACCTGATAAAATGCCTAGCTGGCATTCCTCAAGTCCTGGGTGGTGACAGTGCCTTGTAGCTGAGCAGCAGCTGCCTGTTAGAGAGGGGTTCTCGGGCCTGCTTCGGTGCCCACCACTCCATGCTACCTTGCTGGGTCCTGGAGGAAAACAGGCCTGCCACTGACCATAGGTCTTGGGGGTGGTTGGGAATGTGTGGCTGAGGAAATGGGGAGAAGGCCACCAAGATGAGGAGGTCCAAGAGCTTCTAGGCCAGGGATTGTCCAAATGGGTCCCCATGAGAGCGCTGGGGTCAGCCAAGTTTAGGGAAAAGGTAAATGCACAGAAGGAGCAGCTCCAGCACCGCCCAGTGCTGAGGTTTCTGGCCCTGGTCTCTGCGCATCCATGTCCAGGCAGGTGGGCGGGATAAAGCCACAGGGCACAGTCTCAGCCACAGAGCAGCAAAGTGATGATCACACAGTCGTCCTGAGAACCAGAGGATGTCGTGACAGGTAGAAAGTAAAGGCCATAAAGAATGATAGGCTAGAGACAAAGAGAATTCTAGCATTTTTGACCTCAGACATGAGAAGAGTGATGATACTGCTGAGGTGGAGGAATTGAGGTGACCAGTCCTGGCAGGAAGACTGGGACCACACAGTGGACCTGTCCTGTCAGCAGTGGGGTATGTGGGACATGGGCCATAAAGATCTCTCATAGGGTTGGTGTGAGGAATCATGGATGAAGCCTCTGGCACTTTGAGAAATGCTACTTTCTCACTTCCTTTAGGTGAGAAATTATGGACAGAAGTCATCCATTTGAAATAGGAAATGTTCTTTGCTCTTCATTTATTTGTGGTATCAAAAAGTGTTGGTCAGTTACTGCTGGTTAGTTACTACTTATTCCTAATATATATGTTTTGGTTGTTTTTTGAGACAGAGTCTCACTCTGTCGCCCAGGCTGTAGTGCAGTGGTGCGATTTCTGCTCACTGCAACCTACACCTCCCTGGCTTAGGCGATTCTCTTGCCTCAGCCTCCTGAGTAGCTGGGATTACAGGTGCCCATCACCATGCCCGGCTAATGTTTGTTTATTTTTATTAGAGGTGGATTTTTGACATGTTGGCCAGGCTGGTCTTGAACTCCTGACTTCAGGTGATCCGCCCACCTCAGCCTCCCAAAGTGCTGGGATTATAGGCCTTATGTTTTTCAAATACAATGGATGTTGGTTTAAATATAAACTTCCGGCCGGGCATGGTGTCTCAAGCCTGTAATCCCAGCACTTTGGGAGGCCGAGATGGGCGGATCACGAGGTCAGGAGATTGAGACCATCCTGGCTAACACGGGGAAACCCTGTCTCTGCTAAAAAAATACAAAAAACTAGCCTGGCGCGGTGGCGGGCGCCTGTAGTCCCAGCTACTCGGGAGGCTGAGGCAGGAGAATGGCGTAAACCCGGGAGGCGGAGCTTGCAGTGAGCTGAGATCCGGCCACGGCACTCCAGCCTGGGCGACAGAGCGAGACTCCGTCTCAAAAATATATATATATATATATATATATTTTTTTAATAAATAAATATATATATATTTATTTATAAAATATATAAATATATATATATATAAATAAATAAACTTCCTTAAGTTTGTATTTGGATATAGAGACAAAATAATTTACTTTGAAACGGAAAGAATTGACTGCAGTAGGGGTTTGAGCACATCTCTGCAGTGGAAATTGTCCTTAGGAGATAAATTTGGTATACTCAGCTGTGTGCTCTAGCGGTGGAAAACGGAGAAGGCTCCATCCATTTCTAGTGAGTGAGTGGATTTGGTCACTAGTGAGAATCGCAGAGGTTTCTGAGAGACTTTCGTCAGTGCAAGAGAACATAAGGACATTTTACTGCTAGATGTGAGGAAAATGACTTTTTGAAACTTTAGAAATATGAGACAGATTTAGTTGAACTAATGTTGGTTGGGGGGGCGTAACTTACCATCAAAATCCTGTTTAAATTGCAAATTTATAGTGGTTAGAAGCCATGTGGTGTGTATCATAATGCATTCTGTATATGGAATTCAGTAACTCAGTATTAATGTAGTATAAATGAGGATTATGACAGTTGTAATGGAAAAATTTTAACTTGACATTCATTCAGAATTGTTTGTAGCATAGCACAATTATGTAATTGAGCAATTAAGATTTGTTTTCATACGTTCTTCAGGACTAACGTGTTTCCAGCCAGAGGCAGATCAGATGGTTGAAAAAGTGATCAGATGAATGTGGTAGGGGTTTTGGGTGGCATCTCGATGGCTGGTCTTGCAGATGCCTCCTCTTCAGTCAGGCCTGCACCTCTCGCTGCCTCAAGTGGAAAAGGTTCCAGGCCAATGGCTGTCTTCATTTCTAGCCGGGACTCTCATCCTGAATCTCCATCTGTTCTTCTCCCTTAATGGGCTGGGTTAGCAGTGGACGAGGACCCATCTTAACTGAAGCCTGTAGTAGAAACAGCTCCTGTCCCACCCAGGCCTCCCTCAGCCCTCTGAGATCAGATGGAGCACTTTCTGCAGGCAGCAGACCCTGCTGAGTCCTCGTGGCCAATCTGAAAAACAGGAGCCTCTGGCCTCTGTTCTGTCCTGATGTCTGCTGCTGTGTTTGTCTAGGTCCTGAGCTCCCTTTCTCCTGGAGTTGGCAGGTGTAGAGGCGCGGGGAGCAGCATGTGGTGAATGACTGGTTCAGCCCTGTCCACCTGCAGATGGGCATTTATTTCTTTACTATCCCTCAGAGTTCCATGGGCTGTTTACATATGAGGGTAAAAAAGTAATATGTGTACAAAATTCAAAAATTCAAATGATACCAAAGGACAGAGTGAACAGTTAAACTCTCCGCCCCCTCCCACCCCTCATTGCTGTTTACCTTCTCAAGAGGCAGCTGCTATTTCCAGCAGTTTGCCGTGTAGGGCTCATGGCTGGTGCCCACCAGGCAAGCAGGTGCCCCACACATGCATGCTTCTCTAGGGGGTGTTCGCACAGCACCAAATGCTGCTGGGCTCCGGGGGATGGCATGTGATGGGGTGAATTTTCCCCTCTTCTTTTCTGGATTTTTAAAAATACTTTTAAATATGGAGATGAAACAGTTGTCTTATTATTTTGTTTAAAAGACATTTTTCTGCTTAGAGTTCCACTCAGGTGTTTCTGAAGTCTTGAATCTCATAGAGATGTTTCATACATAAGGTGATTCTAAAGATGGTTGTACCTAAGCTCTTGATTTTGACTTATTTCAATTCTAAACACAATTATTTATCACTAAACCCAAAATCTGTTACCCTTGCAGGTCATATAACCTTTGCAATTTGGAGTCTGTTTAAGTGAAAGATACATGTTAGAATATGTTTGAGATTTTGTTATAGTTCTGATATGTGTTAAAATCAAATTCCTAGAATTTTGTTTACATTTTAAATGCTTTTATTAGGGTTAAAAGTTATATGGATTGAGTTTAGTAAAATCTATTTTTACTGATTTCCATGACCATAAGAAGTTGGTTTCAAATTTTTGTTGCTTGAGCATGTGGAACAAAATTCATTGTATAACATGTATCTTTTGTTGTATTCAGTACACTACAGGATATTAAAAAAATAACTTGCTCTTCTTGGTGGGCATCTGCTGGTCACCGTCCTTCTCCTACTCCTCAGTGTACGCAGAACTCTCAGCCTATTCCCTGTCATTGTGAAGCAGAAAGAGCTAGAAAACAAAGAGTCTGGTTTGAATTCTTTTTTTCTAGCTTGAAATATTTTTGTCCCACATGAAGAACTCAGTCATTTTTGAGGAAGCATCATTTCCCAACTCTAATGATGAGTTCTTAGTTGGGAGAAACATCACCATTGAAACAGCTCTGGTGGTGTCTTAGCTGGCCTCCTTTTCTGAAGAATGCCAGTGTACATAGCAAGTTGACAGTGGAGCGAAGGGCTCTTGGAGTCACAGCTTAGGTCATGCTGCTTTCATCAGGAAGGTGATTCACTGAGAACCTTTCTTTACTAGACTCTGGGCTGTAAGACAAGAGGAAATGGGAAGTGGCAGCTGTGGCGAGAAGGTTTGAGGTGAAGCTGAACCTGATTACCAGATGCTTTCACCACCTGTCATTCCTCAGTGCATTCCTGGGCCAGGAGAGGGTCTGCGGAGCTGATGTGGGCGATGGGCAGTGGAGAGGCGCTGCGGACAGTGCAGGGAGCACCGAGGCTTAGCCTCCACTTGTGCACAGGACTCACACGCCTTGCTCTGGCAAAGCACATCAGCCGTCTGAGTCTTTGTCACTTTAATTCGTTAGTTTACTCCATTTTACTAACGTAGTTTCAAATTTTGGTGGTCTCAATATGTGAATGTACTTTATGATATTGGTGTTACAAAATAAATACAAAAGAAAATGCAGTATTATTTTGAAGTTTCCAGTCATTTGCTGTGTCTGCTTGGTTGAATATTGTTAATAAATAGGATGCTATTATTCTCATGACTAAGAAATTATCATCCGTCTGTTTCAGGAACGACTGATAATGTTTCACCCAACTTGTTTTGTAGATCTTACAGACGCTTTCAGCACCTACGAAAAATTTAGAACAGCAGGTGAATCACAGCCAGCAGGGACATACAAATGCCAATGCAGTGCTGTTTAGCCAAGTGAAAGTGACTCCAGAGACACACATGCTACAGCAGCAGCAGCAGGCCCAGCAGCAGCAGCAGCAACAGCACCCGGTTTTACACCTTCAGCCCCAGCAGATAATGCAGCTCCAGCAGCAGCAGCAGCAGCAGCAGCAGCAGATTTCTCAGCAACCTTACCCCCAGCAGCCACCACATCCGTTTTCACAGCAACAGCAGCAGCAGCAGCAAGCCCATCCGCATCAGTTTCCACAGCAGCAGCTACAGTTTCCACAGCAACAGTTGCATCCTCCACAGCAGCTGCATCGCCCTCAGCAGCAGCTCCAGCCCTTTCAGCAGCAGCATGCCTTGCAGCAGCAGTTCCATCAGCTGCAGCAGCACCAGCTCCAGCAGCAGCAGCTCGCCCAGCTCCAGCAGCAACACAGCCTGCTCCAGCAGCAGCAGCAGCAGCAACAGCAGATTCAGCAGCAGCAGCTCCAGCAGCAGCAGCTCCAGCGCATGCACCAGCAGCAGCAGATGCAAAGCCAGACGGCGCCACACTTGAGTCAGACGTCACAGGCGCTGCAGCATCAGGTTCCACCTCAGCAGCCCCCGCAGCAGCAGCAGCAACAGCAGCCACCACCACCACCACCTCAGCATCATCAGCTTTTTGGACATGATCCAGCAGTGGAGAGTTAGTAATGGAGATTTTTTTTTTCCCTCTCTCCTAAAAGTCTTGTACTCACATAAATGCTTTGAGAGTGTTTGAGTGTGGGGTAAGGATTCATGTCAACACAATTATTACAACATGGAGAGTGTGAGTCTCATACCTAACAAAGAATATCGTTACCATGGGATAATTATGCTTTCTTTTGTACTTTGGGACATCATATGCTGAAGTGAATATTGGTGTCCCGTAGAACACCTAGGCTGCCACAGGGACTCCTTCAGGGTATTTAATGGCCAGGCATAAGTTACGTTGGTTTTAGTTTTTAACGATTATTTGATGTAGACAGATAACTAGTATCTTTGTAGCAATATTCCCCATGCACTCTGATTACTGGTAGATATGTCATGGTCAAGACTGATTAACATAACAGAATCACATTGCAAGGCACCACTGTTTAACTTTTGTGCAAGCATATTCATAGGGTTTTAATTTTCTTTTTCTTGTATAATTTTACTCTAGTTCCAGAAGAAGGCTTCTTATTGGGATGTGTGTTTGCAATTGCGGATTATCCAGAGCAGATGTCTGATAAGCAACTGCTGGCCACCTGGAAAAGGGTGAGATTGTGCCTGGAGGAAGGACGACTGTATCTGAAGATGCTTCTCTCTTATGTAGATGTAACTATGTTCACTGAGCTGCATTCACTGAGCTGCATTCACTGAGCTGCATTCACTGAGCTGCACCTGCATGTGTTATAAATGTGTGATGGGCATTTTGATTAACATTCCCTGTGGCCTCAGGCACAGCACTTTGCTGGGCATCAGTTTTCTCAGCTGTTAGATGAAGATGGTAGACTTCTTATTTTTTCAGCTTGGAAATTCCAAGGGGCACTAATTATATGTGTATAATGGGGACGATGGGAATAAGTTCAGGTTTTTGGTGTCCTGGGAGAGGGACCATTAATTTGTGTGGATCTCAGTCATTTCTCTTTCTCTAGAGGTAACTGTTAGAAAATCCCAGAATCTCTAGGACCTCAACTTCTTCCAGCCCAATTGTGAAACTGGAGTTAATTTAATTATTTATTATTTTGCATGGTGGCCTTTAAAGAAAAGAAATACTTTTTCTTGCATTCCCCAAAACAAAACTGAGTCAAAAAAAATTTTTTTTATAAAAACTGAGTTTAAATGTACCTCTCATATATCTTGAATGTGCTGCACTATAAACATCTCTAGTGCTTAAACCCCACCTGTGTGCCAAGCATGCTGCAAGACCTAGGGAGTATGTGGGAAATCACAGACGGAGAAAACCAAAGAGCAGTGCGAGAGGCAGCCACACAGCTAAGCAGAGGCAGGGTGGCAGATGCAGGCTGTTGTGAGAGCCTGAGAAAGGACCTTCACCCATCATGTTGTGGGGTGATGTGTTAAGAAAAGACTACTGGGGCCAGGCGCGGTGGCTCAAGCCTGTAATCCCAGCACTTTGGGAGGCCGAGACGGGCGGATCACGAGGTCAGGAGATTGAGACCATCCTGGCTAACATGGTGAAACCCCGTCTCTACTAAAAATACAAAAAAAATTAGCCGGGCGAGGTGGCGGGCGCCTGTACTCCCAGCTACTCGGGAGGCTGAGGCAGGAGAATGGCGTGAACCTGGGAGGCGGGGCTTGCAGTGAGCTGAGATCCGGCCACTGCACTCCAGCCTGGGCAACAAAGCCAGACTCCGTCTCAAAAAAAAAAAAAAAGAAAAGAAAAGACTACTGGGAGAGGTGATTCCTGAACTGCTTATTATAGGATGAGTAGGAGTGAGAATTAGAGGGGAGGATTTTCCAAATGGTGTAGCACAGCCAAAGGCATGTGATTGGGGAAACTGACAGGAGGGTGCAAAGGACGGTGCCTCAGTGGGATCCACAAGGCAGGGGTTGGGGCAGGAGCCAGGGCTGGCATGTCTTCCAAGACCTTGTTGATGCGCCATGTGGTGGAGTTTAGATGCAGGTGAAGTGATCAGCTGTGCATTTCAAGTAGTAAAGGGTTGAATCTGAAGGTGACCAGAGAGATGACTGTGGTTGGCTGAGGAGAGAGGCGGATGGCATGTGCTAGGGGGAGGGAGGAAGGGGGCAGTTCTGAGAAGGACAGCAGCAGAGATTTTTTAAAAGTCAGAAGTGTTTGAAGGCAGCACTGAGAAACTGTCTTGAGAAGTACGACAAAACTCAAAGATACCAAAGTTAGTGGAGGAAAGTTTGGGTTTTTTGTCTTGTTTTCAAGTTAAGGATTTATCCAAGAGGTCTAACATTAAATAGGAGCTCGGGAACAGAGAAAATGAAGGCAAGAACGTTATGAAAGAAAATACCTTTGCAGCTGAAGGCCATGTGCCCTCAGATAGAAAAGAAATATAAGGAGAGCCGTGATAAGGCAACTGGGAACGTTCACAATGCTGGTAGAGAAAACTGTTTTCTCTCAAAGACAAGCTCACTGGAGGGGAAACGTGGACAGATCAGGAGTCAGGGCGATTTCGGGAGCCTCCAGTCCAGTGCGCGGGGGCCAGCAACGGAGCAGCTTCTTCCATTTTTGAGGGAAAATAATTTCCAACCTAAAATAACCTATAGAGCCTGTCAGTCCTAAGACTATGGAAGGAGGATATTTGTACACTAATGGTCGAAAATGTACCTCCGTTATATTCTTCCTTAGGAAGCCACTATGCCAGCAGAGAGTGAGACCTGGTAGCCAGGAAATGAGGCGTTTGACTCAGAGATGACAAGAGAGTTCCTAGGATGGAGGTGAAGGGAAACGCTAATAGATGAGAAAGTAGGTGTAGAGAGAACTAGACCTGGGACCGGAAGAGAGACTTCCTGGAGGAGCAAGCAAACAAAAACACTGGTGGATTCAGGAGAGACATGTACGGCTGACCCCTGAACAGTGTGGAGCCTAGGGGTGCTGATCCCCATGCAGTCAGAGATCTATACATCACTTTTGACTCCCCAAAGCCAGAATTACTAATAGCCTGGTGTTAACCAGAAGCCTTAGTGATAAACAGTCAATTAATGCATATTTTGTATATGTATTACCATATTCTTACAATAAAGTAAGCTAAATAAAAGAAAATGTTATTATGTTATTAAGAAAATCATACGAAATAGAAAATATAAGTTACAGGAGACTCGCACTGTCAATTCCACCATATTCAATGACTAAGTCTAGACCATATTTAAGACTAGGGGAGTATACAGTAATTTGCAGACATACTATAAAACTGCCACATGTACATTTTTCATAGAGTTTGCGAATGAAATAGTGAAAAGTATATAGAAAACTAAGAAAAGGGCAAATTCTGGGGGGCTGGGATAAGGAAGTGATTAGCACCAGGGAAAACCAAAGTTTATACCAGAAAGGAACTCTCATCTTAGGCTGCCATATTAAGCCATGTGGCTGGGCTGCGTTAAGTCACTGATGACTGATGTAAACAAGAGTCTGGCTATAACCAAATCAGGAAGGCTTGAAGAGTGTGTGTTATGGTGGGGAAGGGTGTGCACTGTAGGAGGTCAGTAGATGGCCACGTAAACTAGAGAAAAGGAACTAATGTAAAGTGTTAGTAGAATATATTCATACTTTCGGAAGAAACAGCTTCAAGTGCTGAACGTGCTTCCGGGGAGTGAAAAGCAGGGATTGGCGAGGAACCTGTGGTTCTGTCCTGTGCCTCATTAAACTATATTTATGCTTAGCCGGAGGAAAAATAAACATGTACATCTTAAAAGTAGGAAGTGAAGCAATCGGTTTTTTTAGGGGGCAGGTCTTTTTAAAGTTTATATTTCACCCAATAGGCTGTCAAATTCTCCTTTTTCCGTGTACAATATTTTGAGTTCTGAAGAATGCCCGAGGTCGTGCAGCCATCACAGCCCGGATGCAGAGCAGTTCCTCCTCCCAGAAAAGCAGATCTGTTTTGAGAAGCAACTGTTGGGATTTACTAATTTCATTCTGATTTGTGTTTTATTTCCCTTTTCGAGGGAGGTGGATCTGCCCACCATAGACCTTTGGCAGTATCTGAAGATCTTTAGTAGTCGCGGCTAGGGGGCTGCTGCTGGCATAGGGTGGGTAGAAGTTGGGGACACTGCCAGACATCCTCCTCTGTACAGGACAGCCCCCACTTACCAGAACCCCCTGGTCCAGAGTGGCAGTTATGCTGAGCTTGAGAAACCCTGGAGTGCATTCCATTTTTCTTCTCTTGTTTCCTGGAAATTCAGATTAAATTTAGAGTACTGGAGTTCATTTTCATTATATGGTGCTGGGTAGAAAAGTCTGTAAATAGAACTGTTACATGTCCTTAATACTTTGGGGAAATACATGATATAAATGTATGATAGAGTCTTTTAATAGCTGCCTTATTTGAAATTGGAATTCTCCTCTATTCTGAGTGATCGAAATTGATGACTGCGTTGGTCGGGTCTTTGTGTGTAGATAATCCAGGCACATGGTGGCACTGTTGACCCCACGTTCACAAGTCGATGTACGCACCTTCTCTGTGAGAGTCAAGTCAGCAGCGTGTATGCACAGGTAAGGAAAATAACCTTAGCAGCGACGAGGAGCAAGGTCTGGCATTTTTTATATGCAATCTTAAATGCTGGTGATTGATTGTTATTTTTGGAAAGGGGTTTTTTCTACCTCTGAAGATAGGAAAATTGCTTCTTCCTGTGATCAGTTCTTTGGTGGGATTGATACCTTTTGTGGGCACTGTTGTCTTTGAGCGATGGAGATAGAAAGGGATGTTCCTAGGTGGTGGTAAGAAAGGGCGGACAGGAGGCCGAGGTGAGCAGATCACAAGGGCAGGAGTTTGAGACCAGCCTGACCAACATGGTGAAATCCCGTCTCTACTGAAAATACAAAAATTAGCCGGGCATGGTGGTGTGCACCTCTAATCCCAACTACTCAGGAGGCTGAGGCAGGACAATGGCATGAACCCGGGAGGCAGAGGTTGCAGTGAGCCGAGATTTCACCACTGCACTCCAGCCTGAGCGACAGCGAGACTCTGTCTCAAAAAAAAAAAAAAAAAAAAAAAAAAAAAGGGCGGACACTCCCTGCAGTCACCATTCCAGCTGCTCTCTGCACAGTGAAGGGAGGCAGGATTCCGTACTGGTGTGTGACTCGCACAGAAGCGTGCAAAGACAGGTCCCTTACAGAGCTTTTCTAAACCTGCCGGGATGTGGGCTTTCTCCTGATATTACCTTCCTGTGCTCTCTGAAGTTTCACTTCTTTTCAAAAAATTATGCTTATTGTAGACAGATTATGTATATGTGACAAATGACCTCCAAGACACCCCTCTTAAAGAGGATAGCCGTTCACAGGGTCTGTTTTTCCAGTAAAAATGTGGAAATACTTCTGAGACTTTTTTTGTTTTCCTGTGGTTCATCTTAGGTGGATGGTTTTTTGTATTTTTTCTTATGTGCAGCCCTCTGTGTTCTTACAGGGCACTTATAACTTTGGTGGTCCTACGTGTTATTTCACTCATCACTAACGTTATTTTTGAGATTGTCGTAGAATCTGTTGCTTTTGTCCTCAGTCGTAGACTCTTGTTTGCAGATGGATAGTAACATTTTTAGGTTGTATTTCAAATAACCAGCTACATGGTTTTAATTTGTTACTTCAATCAAGTGCTAGATGTCATGAAATTCTTTTATGGGGCTTCCAATGAAAAGGGCATTGTAGTTATACAACCATAGAATTTTCTTTAATCCTGCAGCAGAAAAACAAAAACAACACACCTATAATTTTATGTTTGACAGGCAATAAGAGAAAGAAAGAGATGTATCACTGCGCACTGGTTAAACACAGTCTTAAAGAAGAAGAAAATGGTACCACCGCACCGAGCCCTTCACTTTCCAGTGGCCTTCCCACCAGGAGGAAAGCCGTGTTCACAGCACGTAAGATAGAGTCCTCGCGTTCCATTTGTTAAGCCATCCTTCGACTTTGGCGAGTAATCACTTGCTAGCACTTACCTGAGGCTCCCGCGCTGGCTTCCGAGTCAGAGCTTCTCTGTGTACTTTTGCCCGTTTTATAAGTGCCTGCTCATAAGAAATAGCTTGCTTTCTTTTAGTTCCTTGTAACAGTCACAACGTTCTGCACATAGTAGATATTTAATGGATTCTCCCGTCTTTGACACTATTTAAAATCCAAAAATAAATCAGATGTCTTGTACCAAAGGCAGCCCCTAGTGGGTGGAACTAATCAATAGTTGTGGGTCCTCCCACCCAAATGATCTCAGCATTTCATGTTCATTCTTTTTCTTCTTCCCCGTGAGGGATGTGTGTGTAACCTTTTGACCATTAATACAGTTCTGGTCTTGAAAGTTTTAGAAATGATATTACCAAATGTGTTCCATAATGCCAAAAAAATAGTGAAAAAATATATGTCAACTAAGAAGTAGAAGAAATAGTACTTGGTTTTGTTTTTTTGTTTATTTTGTGTTTATCTTATTTTCTCTCTTTTTTTTTTTTTTTTCTTAGATTATTTCTGTGACTGGATTTGTTGATAGTGACAGAGATGACCTAAAATTAATGGCTTATTTGGCGGGCGCCAAATATACGGGTTACCTATGCCGCAGCAACACAGTCCTCATCTGTAAAGAGTAAGTAAATTTTTGAAACCGTTTTTAATCATAAATTTACACACAATATAGTGGCTATTTCAATAGTTGTGCATTTTTTAGTGTGCCATAGTTTTGTGGTAGAAATTTGTGGAAATCAAAGTCTGTTAAACAAAGTATGACAATGATATAGTAATGTTAGTAGAAATACCTAGAAAACATTTGAATTAATGAAATTTGAATTAACAAAACAGGAATAGGCTAAAAGTAAGACTCCTAGGTGGTTTTGTAATTCTATTTGAGCCTTGAGGTGTATATTTCATTGTCATTCAGGGTCACCCTCAACTTTGCTAGGATATGCCTCCCACTTCTATTATGAGAAATTTTTTATTGCCTTTTGTTGGAAATAAATGTACATTTGGACAGTTGACATCTCTAACATTTAATAAATATGTTTTCTCCTCAAAAAATAAAAGACCAACTGGTTTAAAGTATGAAAAAGCCAAAGAGTGGAGGATACCCTGTGTCAACGCCCAGTGGCTTGGCGACATTCTTCTGGGAAACTTTGAGGCACTGAGGCAGATTCAGTATAGTCGCTACACGGCGTTCAGTCTGCAGGATCCATTTGCCCCTACCCAGCATTTAGTTTTAAATCTTTTAGGTAAGTGAAATTCTACATGCTGCAAATCTTACTTAAATTAAATCATTAGCATTACTTCTGCCATCTTTTTATTCATACTAATTACTAGGCCTGGCTTGAGCTTTCTAATCAGTTTTTGACTCATTTCCAATTTCCTTTCTATGCTCTTTCTTCCTTCTCCCTACTCTGCCCAGGATTTTTGTTTGTTTGTTTTTGTTTTTGTTTTTTTGAGACAAGGTCTCACTTCGTCACCCAGGTTGGAGTGCAGTGATGTGATCATGGCTCACTGCAGTGTCAATCTCCTGGGCTTGAGTGATTTCCCCACCTTACCCTCCCAAGTAGATGGGACTACAGGCATGTGCCATGGTTTAGTATTTTTGTTTGCTTTTGATGAACTCTTAGAGATGGAAGGAGCGCTTGAAAGCTTTTTGATAGTCTTGCCTCTCAGGCCAGTTAATCTTTTGTCCAAATTGCTCCCTACCTTACAGAACGTTCCCTGCTTTCCTAGAATTGACGTCTGTCCTCTTTGTCACTGTTGAGCTTTGACTGACTTGCTGTTACATCTTGAATGCCATCATGGCTCCTGTGATAGGCAAGAAGGTTTGTGCCTGCTAGAGGCCAGACCATAGTCTGGCCCAGACTTGGACACAGGCCTAGAAATGTCTATCCAGACAACCAAACCAGCAGTGGGGGGGTGAATGCCATGGGTTTAGACATGGCATTTGCTTTGTTGTTTGCTGCCAGTGGTCTTAGTGCTACTTCACCCGGACAGCATGTGAAACGAATGCAGCAGCATTCCCTCACCTTGCCTGGAAAGCTTTCTTTAAAACTTCATTATAGTACTTACATTAATCCTTACTAAGTATTGTCAGCTAAGCCACCTGTCTGTTGAGGATTATCAGGGAAGACTTTTACAAAAAGGCCTTTTTATTTGAACAATGTATCTATCATAAAAAATAATGTGTTTCTTTCTTTAGATGCTTGGAGAGTTCCCTTAAAAGTGTCTGCAGAGTTGTTGATGGTATGTCAAATTAATAACCTTACTTTGGCTATTACTGTACTATTAAAATGCAGTAGGAATGTATTTGTAATAAATTAAAAATTAGTAATTTGTCAACATGATAACAAATGAATTATCTACTCCAGTAAATCCTAGGATTGATTTTTCTCTTGTTAGGATGTGATTGTCATTATTTTTATATATACATGTGAGGGGCTCATTTGCTTCAGAGAGCCGTGTGATTGCTTATAGAGAACAGTAAAATCAAAGGTGATGTCTTGTTTTTCGTAGGGTTAGAAAGGCAAGAACTTTAAGAACCATTGGAAGCAATGGATGTGTAACCTACTTGAGGCTACAGATCAGAACTTAAGGAGTCCCGGGTCTCGTGATGAGGGGAAATGTTTTCATAGTGTCCTGAGTTGGGAGTCACATCACAGTGCTTGAGGTCTCTGCTTCTCAGGATAGGCCATTCTTGAAGTGTGAGGGCCATTGGTTGTTAGTTACAAGACAGAGAGGTGCTTTCTGCATTCTCTCTCATCTGTCAAGTGTGATGAGTGGAAAATCAGTTGTCTTTTCTCTTTTCCCCACATTCATATTTCCTAAGTTACAGACAGGACTACTTCAATATCACTTTAGACTTTGTCTGCTGTGACTTCCCACTGTTTGGCTGAACATCAGCACTTTGAGAATAGCAGATTTTTTTACTGTTGGCCAATAGTAGTGTAATTTTAAGACTTTGGTTTATGTTCATGTTGTTATATACTAACCTTTGTTTTTAAAAATGGATTTCCATGTCATGGACCCACCAAGTTTTCACCACATTTCTATTGTATACGGAGGTAATTTAGGGTTTGTGCCACTTGAACAACTAGCTGAGGAGAATAGTGTCATGAGGATTAGCAGCTAACACCCAAGCCTGTGTTTCTGGTTATTTATCTACTGACTTACTCGTTTTTCAGATCTCATCTGGAAGCTGCTGATAATCATCCCGAGTCTCTGAGGAAGCCCCCCAAGCCACAGTCTTGTTTTCTTCTTGCTAATGATAATGTGATCGTAGATGTATTTTTTTTCCTAGCTTAAACTAGTAGTTATGATTTTAATTTTAAAGACATGACCAGTTTGGACACATCAGCAAAAGCAAATATTCTCCCACTTCATTTAGCTGAAAGGAATTTTATGGTGGCTTTTAAGCTCACACTGAGAAAGTGGTCATCAGAGTTTTCCTCCCAAACTATATGGCTTATATTCTGAAGTTGTCAGGGGCTCCAGATGTCAGCTTCTCTGGTAGCTTTGTATCAGTAATTAAAAGCTAAAAATCTTAGAGACAAAGAGGCCCAGTTTACCCTTTTTGCCTATCCCACCATTTGTTTCTACTCTTGGTACCAGTGAATGACAATTTGGAGACTTAAATGCGATCTTTGGAAATAGAGAGTTGAGTTATTGTTTTCTTATAAAGACTATAATAAGAAAAAGTGTAATAAACTTTCCTGCAAATTATTATAAAGCTTGATTCTCTGTGTATGACAGGGCTAATAGATTTTGAATGCTTTCTGTAGATATATTTATTTTGGTTGTCTAGATACGGCAGCAATATTCAGAAAAAATAAGTTTAGTTAAAGTAAATTAATAAGATTGAGAGCAATTCCTTCAAGTAATAAAACATCTGGGAAAGACATGGTTGGTCCACACAAGTCAAAGAACCTCTGAGTTGAAACTGTGAAGGAGGAGTGAACGAGGAATAGGGTAGAATGGAGATGCTGACTGTGGTGGGGACCCCACAAGGGAATCCCATCTCCTTCCTGCTCTCTTTGTGCTTAGCATGGCTTCTGCTCCAGGGTCAGGGACTGGAGCTGGTCCTAGTGGATGTGACCATGTTGCTGAGGCAGAGTGTAGGTTTTGGTACCTTGTCTGGCTGTTGGTAGCAAGCAGTGTTGATTTGATTGTCATGTAACGTCTTTTGTGAAATCTCATAGGTGAAATTTCTCTTTTAGGAACAGTCTTAGGGCAGAGGTGTAATTTCAGTCATGTTTTCCACATTCTAAATTGGGACACAGGACAAAATATTTGAAATAAAAACCATTCTGAGAAGTGCAAGGTTGAGGGCTGCATGTATGTAACATGGAAGAAAAAAAGGAACAAAGATACTTTAAGATACCGAAAGGATTCTGTGAATAAAGAGGGAAAGAAAAAAACAAAAAATGAAAACAATACAGAGGTTCGCTCTGGAATATTAGCTTCTTCTCCTGGCTTGCATTGTCCTAGTGATCTTTTGAGGTGAAGACTAGTTCTGATGTGGTGAAGAAGAACATGATTCTTATATATGTTTAAGTAGTTTGATTATTCGACACTTAAATCTTTTGGAAGCTACTGTATTACTTAGTAGATTGATTGAATTAAAGTCGACAATATTTTCATTGCAGAGTGTAAGACTACCTCCCAAACTGAAACAGAATGAAGTAGCTAATGTCCAGCCTTCTTCCAAAAGAGCCAGGTATGAGTAATAACCTTAAATATTTTATTGCTGGCTTTCACAGGTCTGCTTTGGAAAATCGGTGGCAATTGAGGAACGTTTCTAAAATGTTTTGCAGTAAATAGGATTTGAAAGAGTTTGCTTTTTGCTTTACAACTTTATTTCATTTTAATGACATAGGCCAGTATATTTTTTATTTTAAAAAAATTCATTCTTTTTCTTTAAGCGACATATTATAAGAAGCCCCTCTCCACCATGTAAAACAGAAGCTACAGTGGTGGATATGGGGTGGGAGGTCTAGAGCCCAGCTCAGAGGTACACCGCGGAGCCCCAGGCCTCCTGGGCACGGCTGAAGAACATGCTCTAGGTGCCAAGAGAGCATGTAGGCTGTGACGTCATCTTGGGTATGCTCCTTGGATCTGCCAGTTCTCGATGAGGACAGAGCAGTGTTGGCCATGGTGGGAAGGAGGATCCAGACCCAAAGCCTTTGGAAGGACGTGTGCAGTGCACATGGCATGTTGGTTTTTGGCTTGGAGTATGTAGATTGAGATGCATATCATTTTAGTGTCATGTCGGCCAGCAGGAGTCAATAATGATGTCCTGCCAATCATTTACTTAGTAAGGCATAGCAAATGCAGGAGCAAACCAACAGAGCTTTTATTTTCTTCCTTGATTCTAGAAAACTCTTCTTTCCAGACTGTACATGGTGAAATATAACTGCTTGAATTGTTTTTTGCAGTTACCAGTTTCTTCATCTTTTCTTTCCTGCTCATCCTCTTTCCCTCCTTCCATTCCCCACTTTCAAAACACAAACTGAACTGTTGACTTTTGTAATAAAATCCTAATTATGTGATATTTTTTGAGGCTGTCATCAAATTGCCACAAATAAATTTTAAAATAAATTTTTATTGGACTGTCTCAGAAAATAATAAGCTGAAAAAAAGATCTAAAAAGTTTAAGGGTTATGTAAAAAACAAAAAGGTTTAATTTAAAATGTGTGCTTGAGCAGAGTCGCGTTTTCATAATTTGTGGTTGAAGAGGGCTAGAATGTAAAAGACATGGGAAGCTCTAGCAACACTCGGCTGACTTGTAGTAATGGTGAACGTGCAAACAAGGAGTGGCCTGAGTCACACAAGGTTATCTTAAAAACTTGATGGAAAAGAATGAAGTATAAAGCTAGCAAAATCAGTGATGTTTAGATGCAACTTTGCTTTCTTCTGAAAGCCAATTAAAAAAATTAATCAGGAGGGGATTGATGAAGAAGGAAGTATTGATCTTAACCAAAAGTGAATTGGATGCCTCCCTTGGAAGCTTCAGAGGTAGTCTTTTTTGGAAGGTGACTTTATGGAAATGGTGGAAAGAAAAGGAGGACAGATAGCTCATTGTATTTTTCCTTTAATAATAAAAACCACATGCAGTTAAAACTTGTTAAACTATTGAAATCCCTTGTTTTCTAAAGAAAATTTTCATTGTAAGTAAATATGAAATCACCACTATTTTATGTGTATTTCTTCCACAGAATTGAAGACATACCACCTCCCACTAAAAAGCTAACTCCGGAATTGACCCCTTTTGTGCTTTTCACTGGATTCGAGCCTGTCCAGGTTCAACAGTATATTAAGGTGAAATTTCATCTACTTCGTACAAGGATTTTTAGCAGTGTTCCTTTTTGTATATATTTACTTCAGATCGGCAGTTTATTAACTTACATAGTTTAGATAGTCAGGAATATCTTGTTGTAGCAGTCTTTATAGTGCATATTTATGAAGTATTTTTAGTAGTATTTATAGTAACAACTAGTTAAATGTTTAGTGGCTTCTGCCATGTTCTGTGCTATTATTTCATACTTAGATACTTGCTTTCTTATTAGCATAGGCCAGGAACCGTGTTAATAGTCACATGAACATTTGCAAGTCTCCTTCTGTGTCATATTCATAAAGACATGCAGCATGAAGGAAACCTGTCTTTTCAAGTTATCTGATTGAAACACAGTCTACCCAAGATTAGTTTTCTTGGGTAGAGTGAGGCCAAAGGGAGTTTGTGTATTTGTTTAGATGATAAATGGGCACAGGTTTTAAATATACTTTTTGAAATAACAACCCAAAGGATGATGGGATTTTGTTTTGTTTTGGTGAGGGAGAGGATGGTTAAGAGTATAAGTTGACCTGTATTATGGTGGATTCATACATTTCACTCCTGGTTTCCTTTTTAAGGAAAATAAACAATTATAAATGCTACTATTGTACATTTAGAACAAATTAATTTCTCCACCTTGAAAATGTGAGGATAGTTATTAGGAGGTCGCTTTTTTATATGCTCAAATCTTAGCCAGTTTTTATGCCATCATTTCAGAAAACGAAGATAGCAGGTAAATGTTCCTCATTAACACCAGTTTCAGCCTAGCAAGTCTTGGCTGTTTACTCTTCATTGTGACGTGAGCTGCATCATTCTCATGTCATTTAATTTATTCATGGAGATATGTTATTGATGTTTGATGGAGAATTCGTATTTTAATCTTGATTTGTGTGGATTTAAACTACAGAAATGTAAATGATAAATTCTCCTTTTTATTTTTCTCCTGTAGTTATAGGTTTCATCTTACCTGTCACACTGTTTTCTGTGGCTGAGAATTACAGTCATAAACCTTGTCTTTAGATAGGTATTCCTCTGTGTTACTCTTTGTCAGTGTGGCTCTATGGATGCTAAACTTTTTCATTTCTGACCTGTGCTTGTGACCTTTAGAAGCTCTACATTCTCGGTGGGGAGGTTGCAGAGTCTGCACAAAAGTGCACGCATCTCGTTGCCAGCAAAGTGACTCGCACTGTGAAGTTCCTGACGGCAATTTCTGTCGTGAAGCACATAGTGACGCCAGAGTGGCTGGAAGAATGCTTCAGGTGTCAGAAGTTCATTGGTAAGGAGCAGCACCAGTAACTTTGTTTTTACTGCCAAATAAACTTTTTTTTCCTTGAATTCATCTCTTTCATCCCAACAAATATTTATTTTTTTAACTGTGATAGTTATTCATTTAAATTTATACATTTATTTCATATCCCCAGTGATTCCTTTGATTGATGTCTTTGCATTTTACCCTAAGTATAAAAGTTTTGGTAAATTGGACAATATTAGGGGGAAAACAAGCTCTATGTCCCTCTTTTTATTTTCTTGTTAGTATATTTCGTTTGGAATCTGGCTGTAAAATGAGATTTTTCAAAGTGCAGGGAAGTATAATTTTTTTCTTTATTTGGAAAGAGAGCAGGTGTATGTAAATGTCCTACTCAAATACACTTTGGATATTAGTTTATATAAGGAGGGAAAGACATCTATGTCCTCTTGCCCATCTTCCATTGTTCAGAGCCCCAAAAGAGAAATTCTTTTACCAACAGTCACATTTAGAGATGGCATGTAAAAGATAGTTTTTTCTTAGGTTGATATACACCTAAGTGTTTTTAGAACCTTGCTAGGTATAAAATAAGTATAAATTCTAAGCGATTTTTTTCTTCATGGAGGCTGTATAGCCAGGGGAGCTGTGTGCCCTTACTGTCCTGCATAGCAGTGGTGTCACCCTGTGTCTGCAGAGTTGGTGTTTCCAGTGCATCATCTAGGCCAGGCACCTCTCAGCTTCCCCAGCTGTGTCCTGCATCCTCCCCTGGGCCCTGTCTGGGTTGAGCAGTTCAGAGGCACATGCCCCATGACAAGCTTCACCGAATTCTCAGTCTTTTTTCTCATTTGGTCTTTCTGCCCCAACCACGCTGGCACTAAAACTGAACTCCCTGGCTACTCCATCATGTAGCAGTTATATTGATTACCAGCCCCTGATTTAGAGCATCCACATGCTCATTTTTCTGTGCCAGTGTTTGCCCTGTATTGACGTGTTCTCACACTTTCTCACCTATGCCTCCCTCGCCCCCGACCCCCTAAGCAGAAAGATATAGCTGCCAAAGGGAAGAGCAGGGCGTGTGGCTGTGGAGCAAGCAAGGCCTGCAGGGGGTGCTACTAGGTCCCGTTACACTCTTGTGGCTAAACTCACCTTGTTTATCACTTAACAGACACAAGTCATCATTAAATCCGTCTTTTAAATTTAAAATATTTTAGATTCATGTCACATTTTTGGCCACAGATTTTAAATATAATTCATGTTTATGAAAATAAATTAGAAGTGTATATATCTTAAAGTTCATGTAGTCTAATTTTACAGATGAGAAAACCCAGAAAAATGAAGATACTTAAGATTGCTGTTTATAGCAAAACTAGAACTAAAGTTAAAATTTTATGATTTTGTATCTAAGGCAGTAAGACACAGGAAAGAATAAATCATTAATCTGAAGAAAAAACTAAATCCTCAAGTATGATATTCAGGCAATTCTTGTCATTCAGGTAGTTATGCTCTATAAAGTTGCACAGACACTGAGTTAGTGAATGCTCTACTGTAGCCTCTGGGTAAACATGGGGTTAGGTTCCTGAGAGCCTCTGTTCACTGCATTTTCATTAGCCATTCATATATAACCTTGTTTTATGTGTGTTTCTGTTTAAAGACACCTTATTCAATGTATATTGTTAATTCATTGACATTCAACTAACTCATGATCAGCAGCACTGTAGCTCATGCCTGCATGAAGCTTCCCTAACACACGTGTTTTCTCCATAAGGCACATCACAGCCTTCTTGCACTTAGGGCTGGGGACATTTTAAACAGCAAAATCACCAACATAAAGCACACAGATTTGAAAACAGTAGCCCTAAATAGATCACAAAGAGGATGCTTATTCACCATTTCAGCTGGAACAGGAAGGCAAGGCATGGCCTTGTTCCTCCTGGCTAGGAACGTTCATGTGGATGACTGATTCTTTTCCAGTCCATGTATGTCCACAAATGGCCACTGCAGTGCCACAGACACTGATTGTGGGTTCATAAATTTCAGAGGGGAGGAAAATTGGCAAATACGGAATCTGTGAATAATGAGGCTCGCATGTATTAAGTGGTATTTAGAAATTTTTTTAATTGAAATTTTGAAAATTTTTCGACACTAAAATAAAAAGATATTAATGAAACATAAAACTTAATGAAAGCAGAAGAAAAACATGGTAGAAACAATTACTACAAACATTTTAGTTTCCAATTTCGTATAATGTTATAAAATTTAGAAGGAGATAGTCTATTGGTTAATAGAAATAGTGAGTGTAATTTCTTAGCTTCTGCTGTGGGAGCATGGCATACAGCAGCCTGGGTTGGGGGGAAGGCGGGTCTGTAATGTTCCAGCCTCTGTTGGCTCTGTCTGCTGCTTTTGGGCAACACCCAGGCTTGGAGATCTTTATTATTACTTTCTGATTTTGCTTATTCTTTTTCTTTTCCAACCAAGAACATGCTAATTCTTTGAAAATTAGTTTGCCAAGCAGCCAATTTAGTGAATGACCAATTTACTTAATTTTTCAAGTTTCAGTTTGTGAAAATCTGGTTCTTTTATCTGTATATAAAGTTTACAGTTCATATTTGATGGGAAGTTTTGGTTGACTAGCTTTTATTTCTTTATAGCACTGTTAATAAGTGTTTGCTGTGTTATATTATAAACATTTAATATTGAGAAAATATATTTCATATTTTATCTTCCATATTTTAGGATTTCCTAAGATAATTTTTCCAGTTTATAATTTTTCCAGTTTATAATTATTCTTTTTAAAAAACATACAATTTTTAGGGCAGTTTTAGGTTCATAGCAAAATTACAGAAAGTACAGAGAGTTCCCGTATACCCCACCCATACCCATGCACACACACTGCCACCCCCACTACAGTCACCATCCCACACCAGAGTGAAATGTTTATTAACTGTTAATGAAGCTACATTGATATTTGGGTCATTGTCACCCAAAGTCCATAGTTACATTAGGGCTTACTCTTGGCCTTGAACAGTCATTGGGTTTTAACAAATGTGTAAGGATGTGATTTTGCTATTACAGCGGCATATAGGGTTGTTCCACTGCCCTAAAAATCCTGTGTGCTCCACCCACTCACTCCTTCCTGCCTTCTGACCCCTGGCAATCACTGAGCTTTTATTCTTTCTGTAGTCTTGCCCTTTCCAGAATGTTACATATTGGGAATCATACAGTATACAGGATTTTCAGATTTGCTTCCTTTGCTTAGCAATATACGTCCCAGCTTCCTCCATGTCTTTTCATGGCTTGATAGTGCATTTCTTTTTAGCACTAAATAATATTCCATTGTCAGAATGTGTCTGTTCAGCCCCTCACCTACACAAGGACATCTTAGCTGTTTCTAAATTTTCTCAGTTATCAGTAAAGCTGCTAAAACATCCATGTGCAGGTTTTAGTGTGGACATGTTTTCAACTCCTTTTGGTAAATCAACAAGGTGTGCAATTGCTTGATCATATGGTAAGAGTATGTCTAGCTTTGTAAGAAACCACCGGGCTGTCTTCTGAAGTGCCCGTGCCATTTCACATTCCCATCGGCAGTGAGTGGGAGCTCCTGTTGCTCCACATCCTCCTCAGCGTGTGCTGGTGTCAGTGCTCTGGGTTTTGGCCATTGTAATAGGTGAGGTCCAGGTTACTTATTATTTCTTTCATGGATTGTGTCTTTGGTGTTGCATCTAAAAGTCATTGCCAAACTCAAGGTCCCTTAGATTCTCTCTTGTGTTATCTTCTAAGAGTTTCATAGTTTTGCATTTTACATTTAGGTCTATGTTCCATTTTTGGGTCAGTTTTTTTTTAAAAGAGAGTAAAAAGTCTGTGTCCAGATTCCTTTTATTGCATATGGATGTCCAGTTGTTCCAGCATCATTTGTTGAAAGGACTGTTTTCTACACCTGTTTTGGTAGGTGCATGTTTTTGGGATTTTATATTGATGTGTAATTTAAACAAAATTTGAGACATCGATATTATAATCAATTTCTGGGATACTCATTTCTTTTGTACTTCCATGAAAAGTTTAATGTTCAGGTTGAGTCTTTACATTGCTACTACTAAGTTAACATAACCCTGTTTGAAAAAACCAAAATCTCAATGTCTCATCTGTGACAGGATCGTCTTAGCTGTATTATTTTATTTTTCAATGTTACTTTCTTTTCTTTTTAAGACAAGAGTCTCACCCAGTCTGTTGCCCAGGCTGGAGTGGAGTACTGCCATTGGCTTACTGCAACCTCTGCCTCCCGGGTTCAAGCCATTGTCCTGCCTCAGCCTCCCTAGTAGCTGGGACTACAGGCGCCCACCACGACCACACCTGGCTAATTTTTTTTGTATTTTGTAGTAGAGACAGGGTTTCACCCTGTTGGCCAGGCTGGTCTTGAACTCCTGACCTCAAGAGATCCACCCGCCTCGGCCTCCCAAAGTGCTGGGATTACAGGTGTGAGCCACTGAGCTCAGTGGTATTTTCTCTATCATAAACATTAACTACTACTTGGTGATCTCACACAAGTTCTTCAGAAGGCATATCAGCCTTCGTTTTTCCCCTAGAAAGTAACACTTCAAATATACCATCTCATGTGTGACAGTACTTTTTTTGTTCGTTTTTTAATTCATCATTTTTTCTTTCTCCAAATTTTAGACCTTTTTTATCTTCTTTCACCTAAAAAGCCCTTCTACCCGCTGGTTGACTCAGGGATTGAATTTGTATTTCTCACCGTTGGTGAACAGATCCCTGCGTTTCTGTCATGATGTGGTTGCTCCTGCCCAGCAGTCAGCAGACTGGTCCATACGCTGAGAATGGTTTTTCCATTTTTAAAATATTGCTTAAAAAAGAGAAGAGGAATATGCAAGAGAAATAATACATAGCCCACAAATCCTAAAATATGTGTGTCATCTTGGCAACCCCAGTTTGCCAATCCCAAATCACTTTTCCTTGTTTTCTGCTTTTGATGTATATATTATTGGCTTTGAGCTGCCTTATTATGCTGTTTGGTTGGTAGGAAATGGAGGAGGAGGAGAAGAAATGGTTTTCTGAATATGAGACATATTTATAGGAAGATTGAAACATTTTGTGATCTTTAACTTTTGACATATTTCTTAAAATGTTGCTATGAAAACTCTGAAAATCTGTCAATTATTAATAATTGTCAGAAGTCTTTAAAAATTGATAAAACTATCCTTTATAAATTGCTGTATATTTTTATATACTTAAAAGGAATGTATGTTTGGTGAATCTTTAAAGTTTGGTAAATTCACAATTGATTATCAGCCAAATGACTCCAATGTCCTACAAGTCCTTGAGTTTGTATGTGTGTGTGTGTGTAACATACATATAACATATATATAACATATAAAACATATATAACATCTTTTTTAATACACACACACACACGGATGGGATTATTTAAAGCTTGTCTTTCTAGGACTGGAGGTTTTAACCTGAGATCTGTGGGCTTGGAAAGTTTGTGAACTTCCTAAAATAGTGTATTGAAATCACAGTTGGGGGCTAAAGAGGGGGAGGAGCAGCTATGGGAAGAGGGTTCATATTTTTCAGTAATTTTTTTTCTTTTTTTATACTTTTGTTGTTAAAAAAAAAATTATTACTATTATTTTGAGACCGGATCTCACTTTGTTGCCCAGGCTGGAGTGCATTGGTGCAATGATGGCTCACCACAGCCTCGAACTTCCCAGACTCAAGCAATCCTCCCACTTCAGCCCCCTGAGTAGCTGGGACTATGGGCACATGCTACCATGCCAAGCTGATTTTAAAATTTTTCTGTAGAGATGAAGTCTCACTATGTTGCCCAGGCTGTTCTCAAACTCCTGGCAACAAGCAGCTTTCCTTCCTCCGCTTCCCAAAGTGCTGGAATTATAGGCATGAGCCACCACACCCAGCCCTGTTTTTTTCAAGAGTTTAGGACCCCAAATGGTTAATTACCACTGATCTAGGAGAAAAAATACCTGCCTGTCTTTTTTTGGTCTGGCTGTTTTTAGAGGGAAGTAAATGAAATATAATGGTGAGATTTAAATATCCGAAGGTCGTGCAGGTAAATGTAGCTGTAGTATTACGTACCTGAATATGGGTGAGAATTTTGTGGGTCACACCTGCCACACTTCACGTGTCCACACTTTTTAGGGTATGTGCTGTTCTGTTTTCCAGATGAGCAGAACTACATTCTCCGAGATGCTGAGGCAGAAGTACTTTTCTCTTTCAGCTTGGAAGAATCCTTAAAACGGGCACATGTTTCTCCACTCTTTAAGGTATACTTTAAGGGAAAAGTAAATCAGTCCAAGTAAGCATAACACATGGACCTGCTGAAGGGAACTACCAGGTGATTTGATGGGAAGTGCACTTCCAGGGGAGCTGGGCTCACCCTGCATCCCGTTTACCACTTGGCTTCCTTCTTGGACATTGCCACTGGAGGTCTTCCTCCTGTGAACCACAGCATATCTCTAGAGAACTTTTCTTTACTATAACGTTTAAAAATAAGTACACAAATTTAATAAATACATCTCTGAGAAATAAGTTGTTCAAGGAGTAGGTTTTTGAATAATTGTTAAGAGGCATGTTCATTTTTCTGCTTTTAATAAATCTTTAGAGGACATTGCTTACTTCATACTATTGTCAATAAATGTATATTCAGCTGGAGAAGATACTTGGGAAAATATTCAGTGTGCATAGATATAATTTAGAACTAAAGATTTTTAAATGTTAGATAAGTGTTAGAACAGTTAGGAATTTTTTTTTTTATCAAAGAACTAAGTAAATCAATAAAGATAATCTGTTCTTTAACCTTCTTAAGGAGTCAACAGGAATTAGAAATGATTTGCAGTTTAAGACAGAATAGTATTTTGTGGTATCCTCAGGAGCAAGCTTTTTAGATAATTAAATCTTAAGCATCAATATCATTTCCTGCTCTGAGTTCAAATAATATGGAGAAAATAAAGAAAAGGGATACAAGCCAGGCAGCATGCTACGCCAGAGGCTGTTGCTGGGCAGATAAGTGTGGTGAAATATAATGCTGATTTAAAATTGTATAGAAATTGTGAAAAATATTTGCAATATTATTGCTTATTCACAAAACGACTTGTTTTAGAGACTTAAGTTCTGGTTACTTTAAATCATCTTCAGGCATACTTAACATGTGAAAATGCTTAAATTCCAAATTTACATCGCTGGATTCCTCTTCCACTTCAGACTGAGTGCTAGCAGGAGAATAGTAGCTTCATAATGTCATAAAATTAGAAATTTTGTCAAAAATCTCAGGGCAGAATCTATGAAAATTATGTACTCTAAAAATTAAAGCATTTTAAGAACACAATACATATATTTTCATTTAATTTTAGGCAAAATATTTTTACATCACACCTGGCATCTGCCCAAGTCTTTCCACTATGAAGGCAATCGTAGAGTGTGCAGGAGGAAAGGTGTTATCCAAGCAGCCATCTTTCCGGAAACTCATGGAGCACAAGCAGAACTCGGTGGGTAGAGCGGAGTCCACCGGCGAGTCCGTCGTTGCCCTGTATCAGAATCCGTGTTCGGTCACTGAGACACTCCTTTTCTTTTCCTTAGAGTTTGTCGGAAATAATTTTAATATCCTGCGAAAATGACCTTCATTTATGCCGAGAATATTTTGCCAGAGGCATAGGTACGTTTCCCTGCTTACGTATGTGAGTGTGTGTGCACACAGCAGTGGATCTCTCTAACAGTCTGTTTCCACCCTGTTCAGATGTTCACAATGCAGAGTTCGTTCTGACCGGAGTACTCACACAAACGCTGGACTATGAATCATATCCTTTTCAAAAGAGAATAAAAAGTAGATGGGTTGGATATGAAATGGATTTCCCAGATTAATAAGGCAGTAGCTTTCCTGTTTTGCAAGCCATTTTTCCTTTCTTTGCTATCGTGATTTATGCAGTGAACAATTCTTTTCTCTTCAGAATATTCATTTGAGTTGCTAGTGAAAACATTCTCTTAACTTGCTGAGAGTTCAGTTTTAATAGGTGATGTTAATTAGAAAGGATCTGTGCTGTCTAGTTTATGGAGGTATTAAAGTATTTGACAATTAGATAAAATAGAAAATAAGTGCAAAAATAAATACATGTTCCTTTTTATCAGCTCATTTTTGAGTTTGTAGTTTTCAAAATGAAATTTAGTTCATATATAGCCTTTGTACTCAGGAACTTTGGGATGGGAAATAAATTCTACTAAATAGAAGTGGCAGAGTGAATACTTTATCAACGTGTCAGGAAAATGCAAAGTCAGTCTCTAGAATAATGACACGCTTAGACTTTTTTCTATTTCAGACATTCAGGAAAAAATAAAGCTCATCATCTGTTATTTGAATTCCTATTAAAAATCTCTGAATTATTATTTTAATGTATGAACAGCCCATCAGTGAAGCAAAACATGCCTTACAGGTCATTATGGGAAAATTCTGTTTCAACTGCCGTTTCCCATTGCAGAGGGCCTTCTGCCAGGGTTTTCTCAGGAATGTGGCTCCTGCAATGAGGCTGGAGGGCTGAGCTCCTCCTCCCTGTGAGGGTGGGAGCCTCTGCCACCTCTGACCAGTGTCAGCCTCAGTGGACCGTTCCTTACGCAGGGGAATTTTGTGTTTGGGATAGGACTGCTTCAGTAAGGCACAGAGGTCAGAATGATACCATCCTTGCCGAGTTTTTTTCTCTTTGTGTGTGCCTGTTTCATCCAGGTAATTACATTTAAGTATATTTACATTTAAATACACTGACATTCATCCAGTTAATTACATTTATCAAACATTTTCCTCTTAACCCTAAAGAGCTTATGGTTATAATAGTAGACAGAAGACCTTGATATCACTGAGAGAAAAGCCCTTTTAAAGAAGTAAAATTTGGCTGGACGCGGTGGCTCATGCCTATAATCCCAGGATGGGAGGCCAAGGCAGGCGGATCACCTGAGATCAGGAGTTCGAGACCAACCTGGCCAACATGGTGAAACCCTGTCTCTACTAAAAATAGAAAAAAATTACTTGGGCATGGTGGCGGGCACCTGTAATCACAGCTACTTGGTGAGGCAGGAGAATCACTTGAACCTGGGAGGCAGGGGTTGCAGTGAGCCAGTATCACGCCATTGCACTATAGCCTGGGCAACGAGTGAAACTCTGTCTTTAAAAAAAAAAAAGAAGTAAAATTTGCCTCAGTCCCAGAAGCCAATGTCATGTTTAGCCATAAATAGCCTGTCTAGTTGGAATGAGGCTTGGTGCAGAAGTGCTCTTATCATTCATATCAGAGCTTGGTGTATTCCATACCGCCATCTATTAGAAAATTATTGCAGGAGCTACTGATAGGAATGATAAGAGGCATGCTATAAGCATTTGGTTTTTATACAATATGTACTCTTGCATGTTTTCCAGACTTTTTTCTGGCATTCATATTTGTATTTGTGAAAGCCTGTTCTATACTACATTTACTTTCGGAAGAAATTGCTTTAAAAGTTATATGGGTGACTTGTAAGTATTACCTTGGGGGCCTTTTTTCATATCTGTAACTTGATTAATTTTGCCCAAAGCGGACGGTTTAGAATTGCAGAGGTCGGCACCTGCTCCTGAGGGTATAGGTAGGAATCAGCTGTTTGTATTGGGGCTTTGGGGATGTCAGCTCTTGGGGGCTGTGTGGTGTACATGTTAATTAAAGGACACTTCAGCTATTGCTGGGCCTCAGCTCTGGCCGCATGATGGATCCCCTGGGGAGCTGGCACAGGTGCTGATGTCCCTGGGCTGAGCGAGCCTGTGTGCCAGGGCTGAGGCCCTCCTGTGATGTGGGTGTGCAGCAGAGCGATTGGTTTGAATGGGTAAGAAAGAGGCTGTAGCATTCCTACAAGGGTGTCCCTGAAACTGGGTGATGAATGTTGGAACCCTTGGTTTCATGTTTTTCTTTTGCCTTGTGTTTGAAAGTCGTTTTCCTCAACAAGCCTACATATAAGTTTAACTGATGGCGTCTAGGCTGCAGTGCGTGTGGACTCCTGCGGTGCGGGGCCAGCTGTCTGGCTGGCAAGGAGCTGCCGCGCTTCCTTCACGTGCTCTTGTTTTCCAGCTGCTTTCTTGGGGGATCAGACTGTAAAGCAGGAAGACAGATATAATAAATATACTGCATCTTTTTAAGATGTGCAATTTTATTCTGAGGAAACATAAATTATGTTTTGTATTATATGACTTTAAGAGCCCACATTAGGTTTTATGATTCATTTGCCAGGTTTTTAAATGTTTTCACAAAACTGTTATGGGACTTCAACTAGAAATAAAATGGTGTAAATAAAGACCTTGCTATCTCTAAATTATGGATGTTAAAGATTTGAAATGTTTTGTACTTTGATTATTTTTATTTCTTATACTCTGTTTTCTTTTATATTGATATCTTGCCCACATTTTAAATAAATGTACTTTTGAACTTAGAATTGAGTAATCCTTTATTATTCCACATTTTTTGCATAACTTTTATAATTTACATCAAACTGGATCACATTTTAAGTAATTTCAAGACAAAATATTTTCCAGTAAATTTTTACCTCAAGAAATAATTTCTAGAAGCCAGCCCCTTTTTTGTCACCGTAATAAACTCCATCCCAGGCAGGGGCGGATTCAGATTATTTTGCAATCACTAAACACAGGCGCAACCAGTGAGAGCCAGTGACGCTACGGAACTTCCATCTATCCCGCTTCTTTCCAGACCCTGTTGCAGTACACGTCTTGTTGGATCATAGGTGTAATAAAATGGTAGGAGACTGTCGGTTTATTAAAGATGAGCAGGGCAGTAACTGCTAATATCTTTAGATCGTGCTGACCAGTGCTGTCACAGACATTCAGAGCTGTTTTTTAACAAACATTGTGCCTCAAAATATGTCTACTTTTAAGCTTGTATTTTTGTGCCTAAATAAACTTAGAGATACTGACTTCTCTCTGAGTAGATGTGGAACTGACCTTTTCCCCTCATGTACCACAGGTAGAATTGGTGTTGCTGTAAAATATTTTAGATTCTGTAGAATCCTGGAAGTACAGAAGCGTTTCATAAATCAGAATTTTCATTTGCAAGTATTCAAAGTACTTCCCTACTACCTAGAAGCTTGAAGGCAAGTGACAATCATTACAGAATAAATGGGCCTTCTGGGTAGAGTATAATGTGTCTGTTAATCTTTGGTGGAGACAGGGTGTTTATATAACCAACATACAAATATGACTGATTTGATTAACCTTTCAATTAGTGCTTTTTTTTCAAAAGCTGCCAAGAAATAATCCTTAAAAACTCCAGGAGCTGTCTAAAGCCAACTGGCTTGCACAGCTGTTAAGCATTGATTTGGTGACTAAGAGGGACTTAGATAAACATATAAAAATAAAAAGATTTCAAGTAAATACTTCTTAGAAAAAAATGATTAGATTGGACAAATTATTTCTTACATGAAAAGAAAATCTCATTTAATCCTATTTTCATCTGGCTCGGTGTCATCTAATATATAATGGGAAAAACGTGTAATTTAAACATTTTTAGTAGCTACAATAAATGTTTTAAAATTAGTTATAATATGTAGACAATACATCCAAATATTGCTTCTGCCAGAAGTAATCAATATTTTTAGAAATTACTGAGATATTTTTACTGTTTGAGGGGTGCCAAGTCTTGAAAATCCAGTGTATATTTTACACTTAGACGACATCTCATTTCTGAAATTTTCATTGGAAATACTTGATCTGTTTAGATTTCACACCACTTAGAGTTGAAAAAGTACATCGTGTATGTTTATAAACTCAAATTATTCAAAACGTAGTTAAGTGGCTTCCAATAACCGAGTTAGTGCCAGTTTTTAAGTTAACATAAAGTGCAATTAAAAATGCAGGTCCTCCCTTGGACAAGGCACTTCTCCAGTGTGCAGTGAGCAGGGGCGGCTGATCACTGAGAAGATGAACAGCTGCCCTTCACTGTGCTGCCACCTCAGTTTACCCTGAATTCTGTAACACTGGCAAGTAAGGAACGGCAGGCAATGTGTATGCCAATGATGAAGACAGAGATATTCCATCCAGATCATCCCATGATTGTTTCTTCGTGTAGGATAATTAAAGTTATCTACATGATAGGTCACAAAAAGTGTATTTTTAATCTATCTAGATGCTAGGTATTGAGAGGAAACTCGGAAGAAATAATGAGTATTCTAGCTCCAGGAGTTTAGCCTCATTAGGAAAAGTTAAACAACATAATGTCAATCCAGCAAATATTTGGTAATTTAAGAAAATATTTGAATAGTAATAGTTGCACAACTTTAAGAAATGTTTTAGCACAGAAAATAAATGAAGATAATTGTATCCTCAGCTCTTTAAACCTCAGTGCTGCTCCCCATGAAGCTCTCCCAAATTACTTTGTTGAATTTTTAAAAAGTGCATAATTATGTACTAACTTTGTAGGAAGTTTAGCTACCTCCTGAAATGGACCACGTGTGTCCCCGAGGAGTTTCTCTCGCCCACCGCCGAGCCGCTCCATCTCTAAACTTCAGTGTTGCTGGGCTCACTCCTCAGCAGTTTCACCCTCCAGGGGTGCAACTAAACACAGGTCACCCCTCCTTATCTCCAAGGTTTGTTCCTCCAACCGCAGAGCTGTTCGTATCTACCTGTCCCCTCCCGCACTCGCTGAGTTCATTTCTTTTCCTCTTGTAAATGTTAGCAAGGTTTACATTTGTCTCCTTTTCTCAGTCCCTTTCCTTTCAGGTTGCCCTCTGTACTGTTCAGGAGTAATTTTCCTGAAATAAGATTCTGTTTCTCATATTAATGCTAAAAAGAAAACAGAGTCCAAGATGAGATGTTCCACATCTTTTTTTTTTTTTTTTCTTTTGTTTTTTTTTTGAGACCAAGTCTCGCTCTGTAGTGCAAGCTGGAGTGTGGTGAGATGATCTCGGCTCACTGCAACTTCCACCTCCTGGGCTCAAGCGATTCTCGTGCCTCAGCCTTCCAAGTAGCTGGGACTACAGGTGTGCGCCACCATGGCCAGCATCTTAATCTTTTGTAATGTCACCATCCCAGCCCCTGACTCCCATTACTCACGTGGAATCAGATGTGATTACCCAACCCTGCCAAACACTTCACAGGCCTCTCTCACTTTATATGCTATCTCCTCCTATTAGAAGAACTCCCATTCCTACACGGCAAGCTTTCCCCTCATTTAGACTGTAAGGCCTTCCTGATCTTTGCAAACATTCTAGTTTCCTCCTCTTTGTGTCCTCAGCCCTCTCTGATACAATGGAATAGATGTCTTAGAGCTGAGTGGTTACTTTTTTGCAATCTGTTTCTCTCTGCCTTAATAAAGCCTCAGAAACAGATTTAGGCCCTCTTCACCTACGCTATCTGTGGTAGGCAGAATTATAGACCGCCAAAGATACCCTAGACCAGCAGTCCCCTACCTTTTTGGCACCAAGGAGAGGTTTCATGGAAGACAATTTTCCCATAGATTGGGTGGGGGTTTAGGGGAAGTTTCAGGATAAAACTGACCTCAGATCATCAGGCATTAGATTCTCATAAGAAGTACACAACCCGGATGCCTGGCAGGTGCAGTTCACAATAGAGTCATGCTCCCATGAGAATCTAATGCTGCCACTCATCTGATAAGAGGCAGAGCTCAGGCGGTAATGCTCACTCGCCCACCTCTCACCTCCCGCTGTACAGCCCGTTTCCTAACGGGCCATGGACTGGTACTGGTACGTGACCTGGGGGCTGGGGATCCCTGTCCTAGACCTAATCCCCAGAACCTGTGGCTTCTACGTTAGCTTAGTGGCAAAAGAAACTTTGCAGGTGTGATTAAGGTTAAGGACCTTGAGATGGGAATATGAGCCTGCATTATCCAGGAAGGCCCGAGCAAGCCAGGAAGCCCTCAGAGCGGAAGAGAAAGGCAGGAAACTGGGTCGGAAAATAGGACCTTAGTCCTACAGATGTGAGGAACTAGAGTGATTTTATTCCAATAAGACCCCACCAGACTTCTGACCTACAGAACTGCAAAACAATAGATTTTAGTTGTTCTAATTTAAGCCACTAAATTTGTGGCAATTTGTTACAGCAGCAATGGAAAACTGACAGTATCCCAAATTTTTGTAGACTGCATGGCATTTAATAAGCATTTGCTCAAAATGTGTTGAACTAAAATTATCATGGAGGGAAAATAAGGAATAGTTTTAAGCTTTTGGTGGGGGAGGGAGGGATAGAATCAAAACTATTCCAGAAAGATTAATTTGAAAGTAGACACATTGAAGGCAGGTAAGTGAACAAAACATGTTGGATTCGTCTTTAAAAGAAGTAATAAGACCTGGAGTTAGGATAGACTTAAGGAAAAAGGGGGTGTTTGAAAGGAAAACATTGCTTTGTTCATGATTTAAACTAAAAATTTTACATTTGGAGAAAAGAAAGTAGTCATATCGATATAAACAAGGAACTTGGTAAGGCAGCCAGAGAGAATTTTATAGTGAAATTAAGGCTGCAATTTGGGTAAGAGGTGTAGGCTGAGTTCCATTACTGGGGAGTTGTCATAGTAGCATTAGGTAATTGTAGGTCAATGCTCCCTAATTACCCTTTGTACTGCCAAGGACTGGGGCTTGAAGACCACTTCTCAGTGGTCAGTGAAAGATACCAAAGGAATGGTTGGCAAGGTAAGGTGAGAATCTTGATGGTATGAGACCTCAGGTTTCAGGGAGACATTTGTATCTATGGCAATATGGTGGACACAGCTGTCTTGACTAGTACTCCTTCTGAAAATGAAAAATGCTAACCTTAGGTAGATATAGAAAATAAATTCATGAGCTGGCAAGACAGGAGTACTCAGGCCAAGAACTAAGTAAAGAAGAGAACTCAGGGACTAGCTAAGCACTGAGGCCAGTGCCTTGAGAGCATTTGTCCAAGCAGCTGAACTTGAGTTTCACAGCCTCACTGTAGAGAAGGTAAGTGTTCAGGGCCTGTCCAAAGTGAAGAGTCAAATAGAAGATCCTCCTTCCCTAAGACTGGAACCCCAAAGGGCTATACCCCAGGTATAAATATGAAATAGAAATAAACCTAAATCTGCCCCCAACAACCCTGGGAGTCACTGCCAGTCTTGAACCTTAGGGCTGCCGCACTAATTCACAATACATAGATGGTCCAAAAACCCCTCAAGCTCAGAATTTAGGCTAGTAACACCCTAAAACAATTGCATAAGGAACTACAAATCCTCCTTGGAGAAACCGCCCTCCCCGTCTTGGACTAAACACATACTTATCCCACAGAGAAAGCAGCAAGAAAGCAAGGCATCATGAACAAAAATGGACACACACCAGACATAGAAATAGGAAATAGAGCCACATAATTTGGAATTACGAGAGAACACAACAGAGTTAGTATCTCCTGAGACAGGCTTAAAATGTTAGCAGGAAATAAATAGGAAGGATGACCC